GACAATAATACCCCAATGGAAGGTTAGTGAGAGATTTAATAAAAGTTTTTGCTTGACTGGCCCCAGCTCAGGAGCTTATACCAACAGGAAAATGGCTCTCCTCAAGTATTCAGGTGAGGGAAATTACTTGAAAAACATCTCAGTCTTAATCTCTTGGAGTCTTTCACATTTCCACTCTTGAGAAAGTTGTGTGTGGATTCAGCTCTGCGGAAGAATGTGTTAACTGTGTCTATAACCCCAGGGCCAGATTATTAATATCCCCAAAGCAACTTTGATGCCATCCACTCCATGTATGTAAACATTTCTTTTGCCTGACATAGTCAAACAAATTAAAGTTGGCTGCAAGGGTTTGTATGCGTTTTCGCAATTTCTTTTCAGCCTCAGTCGCCAACCATGGAAATAAAACGTTACAGAGATTGAGGTCACAATCCAAACTATAGAAAGCCAGTGTTGTTTACACGGGAGTAAATTATTTTGATGTATCTTACCATTGTTCAGCTCAGAGGGAAAATAAGCATTTAAAATAAAGCTTTTTGCCAATGTAGTTTCTGCTGGTTTGCTAGATCTCATGACCAGACTGAATGGAGTGTGAAATCATAGCAAGTCTCCTTCTGCCACACCCTAATAACACCACTTTTAAGGGATTTACCCCAGCCTCGGCTGAGTCCCAGCTGAACTGGCTGAGCTGGGATAGAGGACTTACACCAGAGTATCTCCATCTCAGCCAGGATAAAGGACTTCAGTCAGTTTACCTCTCCTGAGCCCATGCTCAGCTGGAGAACTCCTTATTCCAAACACATAATCTGCAACATGGGCTTTTGTTTCCCCCCAAATGCACAGATCAGGCACAATTTCCTGCATGTAGATTAATCTCTGCGTAGATGAATTTGTAAGACGTTGCAAAGCAAAATGACGCAGCCCTTTAGTGTAAATTGGAACAAATGCCAATATCAATTTCTGAAAGGCTGCTTTGATGTGATGCTTGCTGACAATGCCCTACGGTTGTAGGGTTGAGAGTTTTCACTGGAGACGGAGTCTAGTGCAAATTTGCCAGCAGTTGATGAGGTCACGGAGCATAACATGTCTTGTATCTTGGAGGGAGACATAACCTTTTTGCTCAGTCAGTTATAATATATAGAAAGATAAAAAACAGGCCTGCAATCTTGCACATAGATAAAACCTCTTAAAGCCCAGTAGCCTACTAACTATGAAGATAATTGAAGTCAATGGGATTTGAGACGCCTAACTTTGTACAGGATTGCAATCATGGTACATATAACATTAAGTTGTTATATATAACATTAAGTTGTGTGTGAGAGAGAGAGAAAGAGAGGCGGGAGGGTGACATTCACATAGTTGGCCAAGTCTATTGAAACAAGAAGCATGGAGTTTGCCCCGACTTGTTAGCTGGAGAAGTACCAGGCTGCCTTCTTGCGATTCTCTGTTTTGACGAGTGCTAGTTTCTGATGGCCGTGTGCTTCTGTACCAATACCCCTCTCAGCTGATAGCATTCTGCTTTGTCTATTTTGACCCTGGATGTTCTGTGCCATCTGCTTCGTGCTTTTTCGAGCATCTCCCGTCCAGGTTGTAAGCTTCCCACTTTGAACTGTGAGACCTGTTTTTCTTAAGAGAAATGTACCACATCAAGGGATTGAGGCACCATTACTTAAAGGGCCATAAACATCCTGTGATTCTACACACACTAAGAGCGGAGGAAATCCTGTGTGGCAAAAAGGTGGGTTTTTGCAGCTTTGGCAGGCGGATTGGAGAAAGGTAGCTTTTATCTCCCTTCTACAGCCATAAGCTAAGGGCTGTTTTGGAGCATAAAAACTAGGAAGGCTGGTGCAACAGCTCACCAGTTATACAAGGGAAAGCAAGGGAATGGGGGCTTCCTGTGTCCTGCTTTTGAGGAAAAGTATTACGCATTAGCGCCACTGGTGAAAGGCACAGTTTGTGCTGCTGTAACTGAAGCCATACTATAAATGACTTCAGCCCAGTATAATTTATTTATTATTTATTTATTTATTTATTTATTTATACATACCCCGTTCAGCCTGGGCACTGAGGTCCAACTCCAAGGGCCTTCTGGCGGTTCCCTCACTGTGAGAAGTGAGGTTACAGGGAACCAGGCACAGGGCCTTCCTGGTAGTGGCACCCACCCTGTGGAATGCCCTCCCATCAGATGTCAAGGAAATAAACAACTGACTTTTAGAAGACATCTGAAGGCAGCCATGTTTAGGGAAGTTTTTAATCTCTGATGTTTTATTGCTTTATTTGTTATGTACTGAAGTTCTCACCCTGGGCCAGCAGGGGGATACTGTAGACAGTTCAGGTCCACATATGCAAATAAGGGATCGAAAGTGACGTTCAGTGGTTGGATAGTTACAGAAAATGGTTACTGTTACGTTCTAGTGGAGCTCTATATAAGCAGGCTGGCTGAACCCTTCAGTTCAGTTCGGTTCTGGCCTGTGAATAGACAAGAGCTGTTTGAAGAATCACTGTGTCGTCTGATATGTTCACCCACAACTGAACATTGTTGTTGTTGTTGTTGTTGTTGTTGTTGTTGTTGTTGTTATTTCCCCACTCAGCGGCCCCCTGAAATTCAGCCAGAAGGTAATATGCCCCCCAGACTGAAAAAGGTTCCCCACGCCTGCTATACACACTTACCAGAGAGTAAGTCCTACTGAACTCACTGGGGCTAAACTTCTAAATAGACAAAAGTGCAAAGGGTCATGCTGCAAGATTTATTTAGTCCAGTGACACCCCTGATACAACCTCTATAGTGACCGCTCAGGCAGCATCACCCTCCTCACCTTCTGCCACAAGCCACAGGGCTGCAGCACCTATTCGAAGCCTCCCTCCCTGTTTGCTTCTGCAGACGTGCAGGCAATTGCCCAGCCTCTTCGTTGCACTAACACGCAAGCAGTAAAAGCCCTTTCGTGACTCATCCCATTAATCCTCAGCAGGGATAACTACACATAGAGAGCAGATGATGGAGGAGGGAGGTTTGTCAGCTCCGTCTACACATTTTTGCAGCTCCCCCTCTTGGTTATAGTGACAAGTATTTATGCTTCCACTAAGTGCTTCCACTTGAGGCACTGAAGACAATTTGAAATCTTGCCAGCAGAATGGCAACACCTCTGACAGCCATCTGTGCAACCCAGAAGGTGAGAATAATTCAAAGAGAGACTGTCGGTGCAACCCTATACATGTTGACCCAGAAGTAAATCTCATTAAGTCACATGGAGCTTCATCCCAGGTAACTAGGTGTAGGATTGCAGCCTTAGCCTTAGGGACATTTCTTTCCTACAGTCAACTCTTCACGGTTCACCTACTAAGCTGCTCCTACCGTTGGACAAGCTGTACAATGTATGGCAGCAGCAGAACTTGCACTGTCTTTGCTGCTTGCTGTCAGCGACTCAGCTCTTTAGCGGATGATCTTGACCTTTCCCAGCAGCCTTCATGGCTGTTGTACAAGTCAACACGGCACTTCTTTACTTGCTGCTTTTGACAAAGTGCAAAAGAATCTTTTGAGCAAATAGCGGAATGCCAGAGAGAAGCCTTTTAATGTTACACTTTCACAAAGCTTTCGCAGCATTAGCAATGATGAGCCATGCTAAATTCGTAGCATTTTGTCAGGGCGTCAGCACGAAACCTGTGTGCTAGATTCAGAACCAAATCAGGCCAATTCATGCGGGGATCTGGGCTTGGGCCAAGTCAGGTTGAGACAGCCCTGGACAAGATATAGGTATTGCTGTAAAACAGGAATGGGGAAGATCAGGCCTGGGAGCCAAATCTTTCTGCTTCCCCTCCGCTCCCCAGCATCCTTTTCCAGCAACTGAATTTGGAAGGGTTGAAAAAGCTTTTTAGTTTTTGCTATCTGATGCTCCATGATGTGGAGTCAGAAACCCATGCTGATCTATTGCAAATCACGCAGAGATCTATTTATTGCTGCTGCTGTTATTTATGTCATTTATGAATTTCTTCCCATGAGGCATCACTAAGTGATTTATAATACTATATATTATAGTATATCTATATATCTCTATCTATCTATCATCTATCTATGTCAGATACATATCTAAAAATAGTGAAAGTGATTGCATTTTTAAAAACGATTTTTAAAAATATATAAATATAAAAACAGTTTAAAGCAACAGCACATACGGAAAATAAAATCAGTTCCAAGACAGGTACCAACTGGGACAATTATTTTAGAAAGTTTGCTGAAAGAGGGATTCATTTAGGGTTGCCATATTTTGAAGAGCAAAAAAAAGAGGGCACATTCATCGACTTCTACGTTTAACTATGGATCGCTATGATGACTCTACCCATGAAAAAGAGGATGTGTCCTGAGAAAAGAGGGCATATGACAATTTACCCGTGGATCCCAGTCTATCTTCTGCACACCCTGATTCAGGAACAGCAACAATCTTAAGGGGTAGTGGAAGAGGAAGGAGGTTTGCCTTCAAGCTTTTGATCCTTCTCAATCCCACTCTTCCTTCTTCAGGCTTGATTTATTGCCAAGCTTCACTTGTTCTACCCTCTCACCATCTCCTCCTGCTGCCTCATGACATCCCCCCTATGGGCATATCTGAGGGGTTAATACGTGAATCGGTGGCGGCGGCAGCGAAATAAGTCAATCTCTGGGTGAGGGAAGAATAATGGAGATCGCACTTCATTGTTCACATTCTAGACTGACAGGGAATTAAGCAGTTCGTGGGAGGCTGCACACACGCACATGCGCGCACACATGGCAGATAGACAAGAGAAAACAAAGAGCTCCACATGGTGTTTGTGATAATTACATCCCTTGCACCGCTGTCTTTTGGAAATACTCTCGCTGCGCGGCTGCTCATGTGATTTGAGTGTCACACAGAAAGGAGGGTTGCTATGATTTGCTGGCAAGAGAGAGGGAGCGTCTGTGCTAGTTTAATATCCATGGAACCGTAATTGACAGGAGGCTGAGCTATTTTACCCATTTACAACAGTAGTCGAGGACCTGGGACAGCTCAGCTGGTAGAGCAGGAGACACTTAAATCTCAGGGTCATGGGTTTGAGCCCCGTGTTGGGCAAAAGATTCCTGCATCATGGGGGGTTGGCCCAGAATTCTATTCTATTATCCATATTGCATGTCACTTAGACAGCATCTTAAAAAGTAGAGACATCACCTTGCCAACAAAGGTCCGTATAGTAAAAGCTATGGTTTTCCCAGTAGTGATGTATGGAAGTGAAAGCTGGACCATAAAGAAGGCTGATCGCCGAAGAATTGATGCTTTTGAATTATGGTGCTGGAGGAGACTCTGGAGAGTCCCATGGACTGCAAGAAGATCAAACCTATCCATTCTTAAGGAAATCAGCCCTGAGTGCTCACTGGAAGGACAGATCCTGAAGCTGAGGCTCCAATACTTTGGCCACCTCATGAGAAGAGAAGACTCCCTGGAAAAGACCCTGATGTTGGGAAAGATGGAGGGCACAAGGAGAAGGGGACGACAGAGGACGAATGTTCTTGAAGCTACCAGCATGAGTTTGACCAAACTGCAGGAGGCAGTGGAAGACAAGAGTGCCTGACGTGCTCTGGTCCATGGAGTCACGAAGAGTCGGACACGACTAAACGACTAAACAACAACAAATGTCACAAATGGCATTAAAGATGCCGAGGAGAATAACACTCTAATTGTTATGAGTTTGGGGCTGGGGGGGGGGGAGCTTTCTATACCTTCTGTGCAAGACCCTTCTAACCCCTGGATCCATCAAATGTTAAAATATAAGCTAGTCTAGCTTCATGTGTTGGCGATAGCCTGGGTGATGGGCCATTAAGGGAAACAAAGGAAAGGGGCTCTGTGTGAGATGGCAAATGGCTGGGGTCCCTCCCAGCTTGTGGTTAGTTAGAAGGACAAAGTTCTTTAGAGTTTTAGAGCAGAGTTTGGCAGTGATGTGGCCTACAAATAAAGCAGCAAACTGGAGAGAGAGTCAGAGCAGCATTGGAGAGCACTGTCTGATTTCTGTTTGAATCTAAGGCTGCGGAAATGGGAGAAGCAAGACCCTTTTGGAGGTGTTAATGCTGTGGACCCCTCCATTTTAGGCTCAGGTTGTGCATATGTGGAAATAAACCATATATCATAAAGACATCCCAGTCTCTGTGGAAACAGGAACCCTGGGTAAGCACCTGGGACCCCTGGAATCTTGCACTGCTCAGAGATTAGAGGGACGTGCAACAATACTGAGGGGGGCAGGAACTCTGAACATTTCAAAATACTCTGTTTCCGTCCTCCTCTTTTGTGAATATCTTTCTCGTTACTTCTTTCTGGACACACAGTAATCAGAGGCATTGCTTTCTTCCTGTATCAGAAGTGTAGAGAATAAGGCTGAAATCCTATACCCATTGGTGTAACTTCCAGTGTAGTTTGTAGGAATTAGTTCCAAAGAACTGTGCATAGGATCTTGCTAATAGGGAAGGCAGAGGTAATTTGTTGGCATCCCTACCATGTGTGGAGTTTCCATGGCAACGGTGCACTCTATGTCACTCTGAACTGTTCATTTGTGTGTGCGCACACGCACACACATACACAAGTTCTGATGTTCTGGCCCTGAAGGATGATGCCATCTTTTGGCTTGTTATGTGTTTTGTTTTTCTAAATGGATGCTTTGCAATTAAGCCTGAATGTGATATTCCATCCCAAGTACAGCAACACCTTTGGCTACTGGAAGCTGCATTTACTATTATGATTTGTTCGTTAAAAATCAGCAGCATCGGAATTGGTCTGAAGCGAGATAGGATAGCAATGGCAAGAGACTAGAAACTGCAGGACTGCAGGTGCCAATGGTTTCTCCAGCTGAATGAAAGGCTCAACGAAATGGAGGTTGTGATGTGTTGTCTACAGTATTTGAATATGTCCTGCTTCTGTTGTATATGTGTTATTTCTTTTGACTGTAGGTGTTTCGCTTGGGTTGGGGGAGGGGTTGCAGGGGTGGTTCTGAGCATTGCCAATTTTTCTTCTCTGGAATGGGAATTTTGTAGTACCCACAACAATTGCAGTCCCTGGTTTGGAAGTTAGGGCCTCCCTCTCAGAATTTCTGAGCATGAAGAGGACTGAGGATGATAAAAGAACATTGTGGACTATAATAATAATAATAATAATTTATTATTTATACCCCGCCCATCTGGCTGGGCTTCCCCGGCCGCTCTGGGCGGCTTCCAAAAGAATATTAAAATACTATAATACATCAAACATTAAAAGCTTCCCGAAACAGGGCTGCCTTCAGATGTCTTCTAAAAGCCTGGTAGTTGTTGTTCTCTTTGACATCTGGTGGGAGGGTGTTCCACAGGGAAGGCGCCACTACCGAGAAGGCCCTCTGCCTGGTTCCCTGTAACTTGGCTTCTCGCAGTGAGGGAACCGCCAGAAGGCCCTCAGTGCTGGACCTCAGTGTCCGGGTAGAACGATGGGGGTGGAGACGCTCCTTCAGATATACTGGACCAAGGCCGTTTAGGGCTTTAAAGGTCAGCACCAACACTTTGAATTGTGCTCGGAAACGTACTGGGAGCCAATGTAGGTCTTTCAAGACCGGTGTTATGTGGTCCCTGCGGCCGCTCCCAGTCACCAGTCTAGCTGCCGCGTTCTGGATTAGTTGTAGTTTCCGGGTCACCTTCAAAGGTAGCCCCACGTAGAGCGCATTGCAGTAATCCAAGCGGGAGATAACCAGAGCATGCACCACTCTGGCGAGGCAGTCCGCAGGCAGATAGGGTCTCAGCCTGCGTACCAGATGGAGCTGGTAAACAGCTGCCCTAGACACAGATTTGACCTGTGCCTCCATGGACAGCTGTGAGTCCAAAATGACTCCTAGGCTGCGCACCTGGTCCTTCAGGGGCACAGTTACCCCATTCAGGACCAGGGAATCCTCCACACCTGCCCGCCTCCTGTCCCCCAAAAACAGTACTTCTGTCTTGTCAGGATTCAACCTCAATCTGTTAGCCGCCATCCAACCTCCAACCGCCTCCAGGCACTCACACAGGACCTTCACTGCCTTCACTGGTTCTGATTTGAAAGAGAGGTAGAGCTGGGTATCATCCGCATACTGATGAACACCCAGCCCAAATCCCCTGATGATCTCTCCCAGCGGCTTCATGTAGATGTTGAAAAGCATGGGAAGAGGACAGAACCCTGAGGCACCCCACAAGTGAGGGCCCAGGGGTCTGAACACTCATCCCCCACCACCACTTTCTGAACACGGCCCAGGAGGAAGGAGCGGAACCACTGTATAACAGTGCCCCCAGCTCCCAGCCCCTCAAGACGGTCCAGAAGGATGTTATGGTCGATGGTATCAAACGCCGCTGAGAGATCCAGCAGAACTAGGAAACAGCTCTCACCTTTGTCCCTAGCCCGCCGGAGATCATCAACCAGTGCGACCAAGGCAGTTTCAGTCCCATGATGAGGCCTGAATCCCGACTGGAAGGGATCCAAATGGTCCGCTTCTTCCAGGCGTGCCTGGAGTTGTTCAGCAACCACTCGCTCAATCACCTTGCCCAAGAATGGAAGATTTGAGACTGGGCGATAGTTGGCTATCGTGGCCGCATCTAAAGATGGTTTTTAAAGAAGGGGTTTATTAACCGCCTCTTTCAGCGGGTCTGGGATGGCTCGCTCACGGAGGGAAGCATTCACCACCCCACGAAGCCCATCGCCCAGTCCTTCCCGGCTAGCTTTTATAAGCCAGGATGGGCAAGGATCAAGGAGGCAAGTGGTTGGTTTCACTCGTCCAAGCAGCCTGTCCACATCCTCGGGGGTAACAGATTGAAAATGATCCCACACAACTTGACTAGACAGAACTCTAGCACTCTCCCGCCCCGGCCCTGCTCCCACGGTGGAGTCTACCTCTTCTCGAATCTGAGCGACTTTATCTGCAAAAAATTTTGCAAAGTCATTGCAGGAGATCATGTGGCCCCTACTGGGCCCTGATGGAGCAGGTGGTTCCGCTAAATTGCGAACCACCTGAAAGAGTCTCCTGCTGCTGTTTTCCGCAGATGCAATAGAGGCGGTGAAGAAAGTCTTCTTCGCCATCGCTATCGCCACTTGGTAGGCTCGACATTGAGCTCTAACCCGTGTCCGGTCAGATTCAGAATGGGTTATCCGCCACCGGCGCTCTAGCCGTCTCAACGATTGTTTCATTGCCCTCAGATCCATGGGAAACCACAGGGCTGTCCGGACTCCATGCAATCGGAGAGGGCGCTTTGGAGCCAAACAGTCAATAGCCCTGGTTAACTCCACATTCCAGCGGGCCACCAGGGAATCAGCTGAAAGGCCATCAACATGGGATAAAACATCCCCTACCACTCTCTGGAAACCATTTGGATCCATTAAGTGGCGGGGGCGGACCATCTGAATTGGTCCCGCCTCCCTGCAGAGGGGAAGGGTCACGGAGAAGTCCAGTTGCACCAGGAAGTGATCTGACCATGGCACTTCTTTGGTTTCGCTTTTACTTAGTGTCAGATCACCAACATCCATAGAGGTGAACACCAGGTCTAAGGCATGCCCATGGCTATGAGTTGGGCCAGACTTATTCAGGGACAGCCCCATGGAGGCCATGCTTTCCACGAAGTCCCGAGCGGCCCCTTGTAAGGTCGTGTCGGCATGGATGTTAAAATCCCCTAGGACAACCAAACTAGGTGTCTCCAGGAGGACATCCGCCACGACCTGAAGCAGCTCGGGCAGGGAATCCTTGGTGCAGCGGGGAGGTCGGTACACCAATAGGAATCCTGTACTGCCCCTATTGCCCAACTTCCAGAACATGCACTCAGAGAACTGGGTCTTTCCAATAGGACGCCTGGTGCAAACTAATGACTTCCTAAAAATCACTGCAACCCCCCCTCCCCGCCCACAAGGCCTGGGTTGCTGTGCGTAAGAGAAACCTGGTGGACAAGCAGCGGCAAGGACGGGCCCATCTGCTTCATCCAACCAGGTCTCTGTCACACATGCCAGGTCAAATCCTCCATCCACAATCAGGTCGTGGATGGCAGAGGTTTTATTCATCATTGACCTGGCATTGCACAGCAACACTTTCAGGTCATGTGGGTTTCCCTTGTTGATTCCAGTATCCTTCCGGTCAGGACCAGACCTGGAGGCAGGGATAGTCCTCAAACAACGACTAAGCCTGCTTCCTCGGTAATGACATGGTCTGGTCTTAGCGTAACTCCTCCTTCACTGAACTGGACTCTCCTTCACTGGACTCTCCTTCACTGAAGGTTTTTCAACAGAGGTTGCATCTAGCAGACTCTTTGAACCCTTTCCAACTCTGCAATTCTATGGTTCTATGAAAGAAGACCTAGCTCATACTGTTTCACACCTTTGCTGCCAAATTACTGTGAAATGGGTTCATATTATGATGGCTCTATCTTGAAACGTTGGAGGTACCTGTCAGGGAACTGCCATCGGACGGAAGGGAGGTGAAAGGGCTCACACAGGTTGGGAGAGACGCAGCAGCTGAAGAGGAAACCAACAGGGAGGTGAAAGGGCTCACACAGGTTGGGAGAGACGCAGCAGCTGATGAGGGAACCAGCAGGGGGAGAGGAGCTGAGCTGGAGGGATGGCTCAGAGACACTTCCAGCGAAAACAGTGGAGAGGTTTCAGGACCTCCTGTAAGAACACCCACTCCTCGCCGGAAACTGTCACGCAGAGATTCCAGAAGACGTGTTTCCGTTAAGGAGCTTTATGTTGGAAGCGATTACGAAAGCAACCACTGTCGGAATCTGCTAGTGACTAGAGTAGCCATGTCTGAGGGGCTCTGTCACAGACAGAGGTTTGTGGACTTGAACAAACTCTGAGGGGATACGATTTTACGCACAAGCAGCTCATCATCCCATCACAGCATTCCGACAGTCTTTGAAAGCAGCTTGTGCAGGAGAAGGTATCATGAGCAACCCAGCCGGAACCGGAGAAGCAGGAGCTGGAGCGGGTCCAAGCCTGGAAGAAAGGTACCAGATGTTGGAGGTCCAGCTAGCGATGCAGACGGCGAGGCTTGAGGAGAGGAGGGCTCAGGATGCAGACAAAGGGGGAAAGCCACCCAGTTCGCCAGAAAGGTACCAGGATTGGTGCAGAAGTTTGGGGGAGCCCAAAACTATCATGGTTTTCGGACAGAAATGCAATATGCCCTCAATCTGCAGTTTGATGAATTCCTGACGAGGAATCACGAGTGGCTTTCGTGATTGAGCATCTTGAAAAGGGGGCGAGAGACTGGGTTAGACCCCTGATGGCAGCGAATAGTGACGTCTTAAAAGACACGATGAAGTTCTTTCGCGCCATGGATCTGATGTTTTCCAGCGATATTGAAAAGGGAGTGGTGCGCAGACAGTTAATGGGTTGCAAACAGGGGAGCCGATCTGTCCGTGAGTACTGGACTGAGTTCACCATGCTTGTTCACAGATTGGGGTGGGACTTATCGGCGGAACCCATTCAAATGCTCTTTGAAGAAGGGCTTTCTTCGGCTGTGAAAGACGAACTTTCCCGGGCGCCCAGGGCGGAGTCTATGGACCAGCTGACCAAATCAGCGCTGGCCATAGGAGCGCGCCAGGAGGCGAGAGCATTGGAGAGGCGGGAAGGGAAAGGGGAACGTTGGAAGGAGTTCCGCATTCCAGACATTCCAGAGCCAACTTTCCCACCGGCAGAGCCGATGGAAATCGGAACAGCGCGCGCGCGCAGTTTCAAAGCCCAGTGAGGGGGCAAAGAAGGAGGGAAAAGGCGCCCGGAAATGCTATCTCTGCCAACAGCCAGGTCACTTTGCCAGAGTCTGCCCCCAGAGGAAAGAATGGCAAGGGATGGTAGGGGCTGTGGATGGAAGAGAGGAAAATATACCGGAGCAAGTAAAAGCCAACGCCTGGCTGCCACTGTCAGGGCACAGCAGCCAGGCCAAAGAGCAGTGAGAGTGCCCACGCCAGAACCTCCTAAACCCGCCCTAGTGATAGAAGTGACGCTAGAGCTGCCAAACGGACACCCTCTAAAGATAAAGGCGCTGTTGGACTCAGGCAGCTCCTGCAATTTCATGAGCAAAGAGTTTGCAGCTGAACACCAGATACAGACAATCCCTTAAGCAGCCCCCTGCAGGTGACCACGATCGATGGCAGGGAGCTGTTGGGTGGAGAAGTCAGCTTGCAGACCGTCCCAATGATAATGAAGGTAGCAAGGCACACCGAACTGATAGCTTTTAATGTGGCCACCTTGGGAGGAGCTCCCATTATATTGGGGATGAGCTGGCTAGCGTTACATGATCCGCTGGTGGGCTGGCATCAGAGAGTGGTTTCTTTTGGTTCAGCACATTGCTTAGAACACTGCAAAGAGGGAAAGGGTTTGGCAGGGGTCCAAGCCACCCTAGCAGGGACTGAAGTAACAGAGAACGTGAAGGTACCACGACAATATGCAGATCTCCGTGACGTCTTCAGCGAAAGGGAAGCTGACCAACTACCCCCGCATAGACCCTTTGACTGTCAAATCAACTTACTCCCTGGAGCACAGCTCCCTGTAGGCAAGCTGTACGCCATGTCAGACAGAGAGATGCAGGAGTTAAGAGAGTTCATTGACAAGAACCTGAAGAGAGGGTTCATCAGAGAGTCCAGGGCGGTGGGGGCAGCCCAGTGTTTTTGTGGATAAGAAAAACACGAACAAGCCGAGGCTGGTGTGTGACTTCAGGGCCTTAAATGCAGTGTCAGAACCAGTAGCCTTCCCTATGCCCAGGATTGACGACATTTTGACAAGGGTGCGGAAGGGAAAGATTTTTACAAAGCTGGACCTAAGGGGGGCGTACAACCTGGTACGAATAAGGAAGGGGGATGAATGGAAAACCACTATGTTCACCCCTTTAGGGGCATTTGAATATTTGGTTATGCCCTTCGGCCTACAAGGAGGCTCCGCAACATTTCAATCGTTTATGAACCACGTCCTGGGGCCTTTGCTTTACAAGAATTGTGTGGCCTTTTAGACGACGTGTTGGTGTATTCTGAGAATGAGGAGCAGCATGTGAGAGACGTCAGAGAAGTGTTGAGCAGGCTGCAAGCCAACCAGCTGTGGGTGAAACTGGAGAAGTGTCAGTTTCATACCAAGGAGGTGGAATTCCTGGGGTATCGCCTGTCAGACAAGGGATTGGCCATGGATCCCGGCAAGGTCCAGGCTGTGCTGGAATGGAAAGCACCCAAAACAAAGAAGGATGTGCAGAGGTTCCTAGGATTTGGGAACTTCTATCGTAAGTTCATCCGAAACTTTGCCCACCTGACGGCGCCCATTACGGACTGTCTCAGCAGTAAGAAGAAGTTCGTGTGGACTGAGGAGGCGGAGCGAGCATTTGAGGAACTAAAAAGGGCCTTCGCCTCGGAACAACAACTCCTGCATGTGGATTTACAAAAACCGATGAGAGTGGAAACTGACGCATCAGACAGAGCGATTGGGGCGGTGCTTCTGCAGCCAGGCAAGAAGGGGTCAGAGTGGAGACCGTGTGCCTTTTTTCGCGAAAGCTGAACAAATCCGAGAGGAACTACACGGTGTATGACCGAGAACTACTAGCCATTCATGAGGCGTTCCGGAGATGGAGGCACCTGCTAATTGGCGCACAACATAAGGTGCAAGTGTGCACTGACCACAAGAACCTAGAGTATTGGAGGACGGCACGAGTGCTCAACCAACGGCAAGTGAGATGGGCCCAGGAGTTCTCCAAATTTAACTTTGAGATTAGTTACGTGCCAGGCCCAGAGAACATTAGGGCGGACGCTCTCTCACGCAAACCTGAATATTTGGAGGGAGGGGGCACCGAAGAGAGACATGTCATTCCAGAAGACCGCTGGGTGTGTGGGGCGGCATTGGTGGGACAAAGAGAACTGGTAGAGGAAACAGAGAATGATGAATACGCCCAGAATAAGCTCAGAGGTCTTAGGGGTGATGGAGAGGAACCAAGGGATTTCGAGGAAAGAAATGGAGCTTTGTATTACAAAGGGGCACTGTATATCCCTGAAGGAGACTTAAGGGGGAGGGTACTCAAGCAGTTGCACGACAGCCCTACGGCGGGGCATTTTGGACAACACAAAACCATGTGGTTGGTCACCAGGGAATTTTGGTGGCCTAAGGTGAGGGAAGATGTACGTGAGTATGTAAGAGGGTGCGAGCAATGCCAGCGAGCCAAAGGGGAAAGGCGGGCGCCGGCGGGGCTATTAGAACCCTTACCAACCCCAGAACGACCTTGGGAGGCAGTGTCGATAGATTTTATGACTGATCTGCCGAAGTCCAAAGGGAAAACAGCCATCATGGTGGTGGTAGACCTACTAACAAAGATGTGCCACTTTGTAGCTTGCTCGCATGCAGTCACGGCGGAAGAGACAGCGAAGTTATTTGTAGAAAACATTTTTAGGTTGCACGGGGTGCCATTGAGGGTGGTCTCAGACCGAGGAAAACAATTTACTTCCAGGTTCTGGAGGAAGCTCATGAGCTTACTGCAGGTGGAGGTCAATTTTTCGACTGCCCGGCACCCTGAAACCAACGGGCAGGCGGAAAGAGCAAACGGTGTCCTCCAGCAATACCTGAGGTGTTATGTCAATGACAGAGAGAATGACTGGGTAGAAAAGTTGGCGCTGGCGGAATTTGCCTACAACAATGCCGAGAATGTGTCCACAGGGATGAGCCCCTTCTTGGCTAATTATGGGTGTCATCCCAGGGCTTTCCCAGGGGGAGAGGGGGAGAGATGGAGCGTCCCGGCAGCCGAGCATTTTGTGGAAGAAATGGAAGCAATCCATCGTCAGCTCCAACTCAACTTAGAAAGGGCGAAGGAAGAATACAAGAGGCAGGCAGACAAGAACCGAAGGGAAGGTGAAACCATAAGGGTGGGAGATAGGGTGTGGCTGTCAACCCAAGGGTTGCCGTTCAAAGGAGGTTGTAAGAAATTAAGACCCAGGAGGTTGGGTCCCTTTGAGGTCATTCAACAGGTCAACCCAGTGGCTTTCAGGCTCCGGTTACCCAACCACATGAAACTGCACCCAGTATTTCACAGGTCGTTACTGTCACCGTACGAAGGGGGACGAGAAGGGCTGGCCACTCGGGGACCGGTCGTAGAAGAAAGAGAATGCAGCAGCCATGTGGCAGAAATCCTCGACGCCAGGTGGAAGGGGGATCAGGTGGAGTATTTGGTAGCGTGGGAAGGAGAACCGGAGTCAGAAAACACTTGGGTAATGGCTGAAGATATCAATGACGAGGTATTGATAGAAACGTTCCATCAAAGGTTCCCAAGGAAACCTCAGCCTGTGGAGAGGTTCCGGAGGGAATACTTTGGGACCACTGATGAAGGGGAGGAGTTGGAAGGATTCCCGGACTCGGAAGGGGAAGGGAGATGGACTCTGAGGAGGAGGTGTACTTCGAGACCAGGAACCGCAACAGGTTGAGAGAAGTGTTCGAGACATCGGAAGATGAAGGAAGTTCATTCCGGGGTTTTGCCTCCTCACCGCCCGTAGAGGAGGGGGCGAGAGGGGGTGAAGGGGGCCCTGGAGGGGAGGTGGATGTCAGGGAACTGCCATCGGACGGAAGGGAGGTGAAAGGGCTCACACAGGTTGGGAGAGACGCAGCAGCTGAAGAGGAAACCAACAGGGAGGTGAAAGGGCTCACACAGGTTGGGAGAGACGCAGCAGCTGATGAGGGAACCAGCAGGGGAGAGGAGCTGAGCTGGAGGGATGGCTCAGAGACACTTCCAGCGAAAACAGTGGAGAGGTTTCAGGACCTCCTGTAAGAACACCCACTCCTCGCCGGAAACTGTCACGCAGAGATTCCAGAAGACGTGTTTCCGTTAAGGAGCTTTTATGTTGGAAGCGATTACGAAAGCAACCACTGTCGGAATCTGCTAGTGACTAGAGTAGCCATGTCTGAGGGGCTCTGTCACAGACAGAGGTTTGTGGACTTGAACAAACTCTGAGGGGATACGATTTTACGCACAAGCAGCTCATCATCCCATCACAGTACCCATGAGATGTAATGTAGGGAGATCCATGACTGACAGGTCCTGTTACTCTTTGAAGGTCAGGGAAGTAACACTCTCAAAGACAGTATGTTCAGCTATAATAATAATAATAATTTATGATTTATTTCCCCAGCCACTCTGGGCTGGTTTCCCCAGCCACTCTGGGCGGCTTCCAACAGAATATTAAAATAAAATAGTCTATTAAACATTAAAAGCTTCCCTAAACAGGGCTGCCTTCAGATGTCTTCTAAAAGTCTGGTAGTTGTTGTTCTCTTTGACATCTGGTGGGAGGGCATTCCACAGGGTGGGCGCCACTACCGAGAAGGCCTTCTGCCTGGTTCCCTGTAACTTGGCTTCTCACAGTGAGGGAACCACCAGAAGGCCCTCGGCACTAGACCTCAGTGTCCGGGCAGAACGATGGGGGTGGAGACGCTCCTTCAGCTATACTGGGCCAAGGCCGTTTAGGGCTTTAAAGGACAGCACCAACACTTTGAATTGTGCTCGGAAACATACTGGGAGCCAGCGTAGGTCTCGGCGGCCGCTCCCAGTCACCCGTCTAGCTGCCGCATTCTGGATTAGTTGTAGTTTCCCTCCCGTAAGACCAAAGGTTGGCAACTCTGAGTTGATTGATACGGTTTTCCTCATTCAAGCAAGAGATTGTGCAGCAAGATATAAAAGAGTTAACATCCAAAAAGCAACAAAGCCTTGAATAAAAATAAATGGCTGGGGCATGGGAGATAATAAACTCTACAGTGAAAAATTCCTGGAGGCGTTAAGAAGTTCTAATGTAATCATCCCCTGCGCTGTCAACTCAATAGATGGATGACTAAGCGAGGCCCATAGAAACTGGCACAGTTTACACATTTCATTAAGGAAAAAACACGTATAACGTTTTCTGGTCACTAGTTGGCTTGGCTTTTCTGATCTTGCAGTGGTTTCAGAAAGCTCAGAGGGTTAGATGGAATATATACTGGGCTGTGGGAAGGGCAGCAGCAGCACTTTATTAATCCAATGTATGTGTCGCAGGATAGAAGACAAAATAATGTGGTTGTTTTCAAACTGTCATACAATGATGGAGCTTGTGATTTGCATCCATGTTTGATCTCTGGCATCTCCAGTAAAAAGGACTAGGCAGCAGGTCATGGAAAAGAGGTCTGCTGGACACCACAGAGAGCCACAACCAAACATGGGCAGCCCTAAGGGAAAAGGAGACAATGGCCTCAAAGAATTATAGAGCTGACCTTAGCAGTCATCTAGCCTAACCCCTAGCTCCATGCAAGATCTACAGGGCAAGCTGGAGGAGAAGAAGTGTGCAGAGGCCCAGTGGACAGTTCAGTTGTCCTCGCTACCTTAATTCATGGTGATTGTGGATGAAAGTTTGGTCTTTTCTGAATTCTTGTCCTTTCAGACAGGGTGAGGCAGTTGTTTCCTTAGTGGTGCTATGCGCTGCATGAAGTCTAGATCAGTTTTTGACACACCACTCCTAGTGTTCCCGTTGCTCTATTTGCAGTTGCACACAGAAAATGCAAAAAGGGATGAATTTATCTCTTCATGCCTCGCAGCATCCTGCACAGGCACAAGCCATGTCAGAGTCATTGTGAGTGTACCAATTTCCTCATGGCAGGATCAGCGGGACAGCCATCATCCCAAAATGGCTGTAGGAATCGACCCACTGAAATTTATTTATGTTTCCATTGTAGGCTTCCTTTCTATAAAAAGGAAGTTGTTCTTCGTGTATTGCATAGTTAAATGATAGAACTTGCTCCCTCAGGGGGCAGTGATGGCCACCAAGTTGGGTAGCTTTTAAAGAAGATTAGACGGATTCATGGAGGACAAGACTATCCACATGGTGACAATGTTCTGCTTGGGTGACATGCATGGGGCCGCAGTCTGGGTGGCTTGTGATCTAGGCACTTATCTTGCTTAGCTTTAGCAAGGTTGCCGCTTTAGACCATGCCCTGGGCCCAAATACAGGGATTTGTACAAAAGTACAACTGTGCAAGCCTTGCACATCTTGCCCTTGGATCAATAAGCTGATTTCCACTTGAGAAATTAATCCAATGAAGTTTAAAAGCAAAAAGAACCCCAAAAAGTTAGTATTCCCATGTATCTCTTTCTACAATGCTGCCCTCTTGTGTTGTTTAAGTTTTAAACTTTTCTCTTTGTGGACAGGTGTGTTTTTTTGCTTAGTAGGAGACTCACAAAACCATGTGTTGATTCTCCTCAGTTGTACATAAATTACACTAGCCTCTCACAAGATAACAGCAAATACAATTTGTAATAATAGCCTTTGGCAACCTTCCATATTCCTGGTAATGATTTTCCAGGGTTTGTCTGTATGAAAGTAAGGATAATATTTTGCGTCTGCGATTAGCCCCGGAGATGTGATGTGGGGCTCAAAGTTGCCCAGCAACATTTCTGTTTCCACAGTCCAGGGACAGTGTAGACACCAGAACATCTGGAGACAAATGATTCTTAGACATTTGCAAGGTGTCCTGACTGAATCTACTTGATATTAACCCACAGCCTGGTGGATTGCAGTGAGTTTATTTATTGTGACCATGCCATAGGGCTATCATGGGATATGTGAATATTTCATGAAGATGGTACAGCTAGGGGGCCAAAGTCCAGGATACCCAGATGACCAGCCAGAGAGCATCGGGTGATGGAGGCAGCAGCAAATAGGCTCAACACCTAGGTTGGGTATACACACACTGAGATCTACCAAAGCTGTTTCAATATCCTTTCTCTATCCTTATTTTGACTCTAGTTGCCTCAACAACATGCAGGTGGTCAGACATGTATATGGTTGCATATTCTCATAGTAAGTCTGCAAATTCTGTGAGGGGTATGTTCTGGGGATCATACCTAAAGTCAAAATCATGTACAGTGGTACCTCTGGTTGCGAACGGGATCCTTCTGGAGGCCCGTTCGCAACATGAAAAGCCCGCAACCTGAAGCGCCATATCTGCACAGGTGTGCGGCACGATTTGGTGCTTGTGCAAAGCATGATTTAGCGCTTCTGCGCATGCGCGAGCAGCGAAACCTGGAAGTAACCCTTTCCGGTACTTCCGGGTCGCTGCGGGATGCAACTTGAAAAAAACCTATCATGAAGCAAACGTAACATGCGGTATGACTGTATAGTCAAAACCCAGTATGCTCAGTGGTGGAAGGGTTTGCCACGGTCATTTCCCCCCTGAACCCTAGCCCTTTTAATATTTTTTAAAAAATTATTTTGTCATGCTCATAAAGCTGAATGCGCACAAGTTAAATGCGCATAAGGTGGGGTGTTACTGTACACTATTGCGTAAAATGTAAGAACATTCATACCACCTGAATACATAAAGGGGGGAGCTTTTTCTTCCACGGTTACTTTTGATTCGCAATGCATAAAAGAGGCAAACTTATAAATGCAGGATTGAAAGGTGGACTCCAACCTTTGTTAGCATAACTTGCAGGCCAACATACGGAAAGAGAAATAAGAAAAGGCCAACTTTCTTTTTAGGGAGGATTGCTAAGTATACGACCTCGTTGCATCTCTCTCTCACACACACACCCTTGGTCCCAAATGCATATGTCTGCTAACCACCTTGCTTGCGATTGCATATGATATGGTTCTGTTCTCTCTCTCTCTTTCCAATTTAGAAATTGTCCGGGCGATGACTCATGTGATAAACCAAGGCATGGCCATGTACTGGGGAACTTCCCGATGGAGTGCCATGGAAATAATGGTAAGGTAGCTTTGCGAGAGGATCCAGCGTTATTAGAGCTGCAAGCATTGAAACAGCGCCAGGTGTGATGTGTGGAATTGCCATGGTCTGCTCCCTCGTTTTTTACGGGGCAGCATCCACACAGTGCCATCGTCCAATCATTGCCTTCCTGTATTTTTCTTCCGATTCTTCAGTCCTTTCCCAGGCTCCAAAAAGTCTAGCTTTTTTAGAAGAAGAGAAGAACATAGCTGGTAGAGACTCCCATAGCTTCTCTTTATTTTTATTATTATTATTATTATTATTATTATTTAAAAGGTTGGAGTTTTGATGTGTGCAGTTAAATATTAAGACAGTAACCCTATTGCCAAAACCAACTGCCCGCTCAGCACACCTTTGCTATTGCTTTCTCACTCCTGTTATCACTTAAGTTTTATTTATGCTAAAGTCTCTTAAGCACGGGTCCATCTATATACTTTTTTAAAGTTCAGCAATAGCTCCATTACACATTTTAAAATGATTTTTTTAAAAACAAATGGACTCCCCACTGCCTTCCTACTAGCTGTCATTTTAGTGCATTTTTCTCTAGATAAGTGCTTCCAATCTGCACTTCCAGTCCAAATGTTAAAAACTTTGTGAGGGGTTTTTTAAAAAATGTTTTGTGTTCAGCAATGGGCAATTGAGCTTGAATCTATAAGGGCATAAATGCATAAGCACTTAGCACTAATTCAATATTTGGTTATTATTTTTAAGCATCACTTTAGACAGATAGACAGACAGACAGACAGAATACTGCCCAAGTAAAGTGGAAATTAGCCTTTCCCACTCTCAGCAGCTGTGCTGTGCTCATTGGGACATTTTTTTATATTATTATTATTATTATTATTATTATTATTACAGTGGTGCCCCGCAAGACGAATGCCTCGCAAGACGAAAAACTCGCTAGACGAAAGAGTTTTCCGTTTTTTGAGTCGTTCCGCAAGACAAATTTCCCTATGGGCTTGCTTCACAAGACGAAACGTCTTCGGTTCTGCGAGTTTGTTTCCTTTTCTTAAAGCCGCTAAGCCGCTAAGCCGTTAATAGCCGCTAAGCCGCTAAGCCGCTAATAGCCGTGCTTCGCAAGACGAAAAAACCGCAAGACGAAGAGACTCGCGGAACGGATTAATTTCGTCTTGCGAGGCACCACTGTATTATCATCATTATCATTATTATTAATTTAGTTATTTACAGGGACTCAGGGAACATACCAGCATGGGCGCACAGTAAAGGTGCAATGCCCCTAACGGTACAAAAGGCAATCTGAAAACCAGCTTACAGCGGGAAAGCATTCATTAGCAGTGTTTGTGTTCCTGGTTCCTCTGTTTTCTAAACCACTTAGAAGTCTATTTTGGCACTAAGCAGTATATTAATTAATTAATTAATCAGAGTAAGTTGTGGTAGCAGCAGCTCTAGGAGCCACCTACTTGGAAGCAATCCAAAATTCGACAGTCCACACCCCTTTTGCTGTGGTAGGTAGTGTGATCATTGGTGGGGTGGGGGGTGGATAGAAATCTCGAAAGATTTGATGAAATCCACATAGACATGCATATAAGAAAAATAATTCTAGAGAAGCAAAGCAGGCTGCATGTGTTCGTGGTACAGGCAGGTGCTTTTAAGTGATGCCTTGTCACAAGCAGGACAGAAGATGTTCCCCGTCATTCATACCTTGGTTCTCAAATGGAATCTGTTCCGAAAGTCTATTCGACTTCCAAAAACGTTTGAAAACCAAGGCGCGGCTTCCGATTGGCTGCAGGAGCTTCCTGCACTCAATCAGAAGCCGTGGAAGCCACGTCGGACGTTCGGCTTACAAAAATCATTCTTAAACCTCACTTCTGGGTTTGAGCATTCGGGAGCCAAAACATTCGACTGGCAAGGCGTTCAAGAACCAAGGTACGACTGTAGTTGTATTTATTTTTTTAAAAAAAGGGCTTCCAGTTAATATGATGTTCTTTTAATCCATTTGTTCAAATGTATTAAACATTGCAACACTAATAAAACATCTGTATTGTGTACTGCCTTGGAAAGAGTTGATTTGATTAATGCTCCGTCATTTCTCCCAGGAGAACTCTCCGCTAATGTGCTATTCTTTTTTTGCTGACTCTCCACAGGAAGCCTATTCTGTAGCGAGGCAGTTTAATATGATTCCACCCGTGTGCGAACAAGCAGAATACCACCTTTTCCAAAGAGAGAAAGTAGAGGTTCAGTTGCCGGAACTGTATCACAAAATAGGTAATGTCAGAAAGGCTGTATTGTAAATATTCGCGAGGGAATGAGGAACAAATCATTTCTATGCAAAGGGTGTCTGCTCGGAAAATATTTCATAGCCCCTGCTGTTCAATAAGAGGTGCAATTAGTCTCTTGCCAGCAGCAATTATCCCTGTGCGAAGAGGTAAGTGACAGCATGTCTGCCAGTCTTCTTCAATGGCTTTCCTCTCTGATTTATTATTTTAATAAATATAGTGTCATCAAAACCCTATATAGCAGGTCCATAGTGGTGCATGGTGTCAGGCTAAAGAAGCAGAATGCTTAACTACAATGTTTTAGTATGTTCCTTTCCCACACCAAAAAGTGCCATGGGCTGCAATCCTAAGAACACTTACTAGGGAGAAAGCCTCTTTGAAAATAGTAGAGTTTACTTCCAAGTAGGTAACTTATATGCAGAATTCATCATGTGAAAGAATGGGCTGGATGAATCCTTAGCCAGAATTAAGATTGCCGGAAGAAATATCAACAACCTCAGATATGCAGATGACACAACCTTGATGGCAGAAAGTGAGGAGGAATTAAAGAACCTTTTATTGAGGGTGAAAGAAGAGAGCGCAAAATATGGTCTGAAGCTCAACATCAAAAAAACTAAGATCATGGCCACTGGTCCCATCACATCCTGGCAAATAGAAGGGGAAGAAATGGAGGCAGTGAGAGATTTTACCTTCTTGGGCTCCATGATCACTGCAGATGGTGACAGCAGCCACGAAATTAAAAGACGCCTGCTTCTTGGGAGAAAAACAATGACAAACCTAGACAGCATCTTAAAAAGTAGAGACATCACCTTGTCAACAAAGGTCCGTATAGTAAAAGCTATGGTTTTCCCAGTAGTGATGTATGGAAGTGAGAGGTGGACCATAAAGAAGGCTGATTGCCGAAGAATTGATGCTTTTGAATTATGGTGCTGGAGGAGACTCTTGAGAGTCGCATGGACTGCAAGAAGATCAAACCTACCCATTCTTAAGGAAATCAGCCCTGAGTGCTCACTGGAAGGACAGATCCTGAAGCTGAGGCTCCAGTACTTTGGCCACCTCATGAGAAGAGAAGACTCCCTGGAAAAGACCCTGATGTTGGAAAAGATGGAGGGCACAAGGAGAAGGGGACAACAGAGGACGAGATGGTTGGATAGTGTTCTTGAAGCTACCAGCATGAGTTTGACCAAACTGCGGGAGGCAGTGGAGGACAGAAGTGCCTGGCGTGCTCTGGTCCATGGGGTCACGAAGAGTCGGACATGACTAAACGACTAAACAACAACAACAACAAGGTAAAAAGATAAAGGACCCCTGGACAGTTAAGTCTGGTCAAAGGTGACAATGGGGTTGTGGCGCTCATCTCGCTTTCAGACTGAGGGAGCCAACGTCTGTCCACAGACAGCTTTCTGGGTCATGTGGCCAGCATGACTAAACTGCTTCTGGCACAATAGAACACCATGATGGAAGCCAGAGCTGAAATGCTGTTTACCTTCCTGCTGCAGCAGTACCTATTTATCTACTTGCATTGGTGTGCTTTCAAACTGCTAGCTTGGCATAAGCTGGGGCAGTTTTGACTCATGTGCACTTTTTTGCAAGCAATTTTTCCTGATATAATGCATTTTTGTGTGGCTTTATCCATGCAAATGTATTCGTTATTAATAGCACACCTTACACTAATCTATGCATTTTTGGAAACATGGCTGTCACTCTGGAAAAAGGTCCTGGAGATGCACTCTCCCACATTCCCCCTCCACTATGCCAGTTCCAATGAGATGTATCTAGGAAACTCATGAGCAGAGCATGAGGGCAATAGGCTCTGGTATTAATTTACAAGGCACTTAATAACTTGGGCCCAGGGTACCTCAAGAACCACCTAATCCCTAATATCCCTGCCCAGTTATTGAAGTCTTCAATGTTAGGAGTCCCCCATGGCTCAGATGCACATCTCAGATGCTCCAGGGGCCATGCATTATTGTTGTGGGTCCAATTTTATGGAACAATCTTCCAGCTGAGGTCAGACAGCACCTCCCACCACCTCCTGTGCAGCTTCTAGCCCCTGCTGAAGACTTTATTATTATTCCAGCAAGCATTTTAACTTGGAGTCTGATTTTATAGTTTAAAATGATGTTTCCCTTTTCTGTATTGTATTTCTTGTACACCACTCACAAGTCCAGCAATATAGAAATTGTTTAGATCACTAAAAAAAAAAATAGTTCTCTTCCATTGTTGCTTCCCAGCAACTAATATTCACTGCCTTTCAAGAGAGGCAGTGAATCATTCAATCTTCATGATTCAGTCTTCATGATTGACAGCCGCCAGCAGACCCACCCTCCTCCACAAATTTGCCTTCTTCCCCTCCGAAAGCCGTCTGAGTTTGCATCCATCGCAATGTCCCGTGCCGATGAATTTCATGTTTTAATTATGCTTTGCGGGAAGAATTGCTTGTTTCTGCCTCTCCTGAACCTCCTGCCAATCAGTTTCACTCGGGGGCAGCTTGCCCAGCGATGGAGTCGCTGTCGCTTACCAAGCGGTAGAAGCTGTGCAGAAGCTGCTGTGGGAATACTGAATCAGCTTTGCTGGGGAACCCGCACAAGATACGGCCTTCATCCCTCTCCCTCCCTCTCCCAGTAAAACAGCACTGGTCCCACTGTCAGGAATCTGCTGTGGTTCTGCCCACTAAGCAATGGTTCCATTGAATGCTCCCAATTTCTATTATTATGAAGGAGGGAGGAAAACATCTCTCTTTCTCTACACCATCTGTAATTTTATAAAACTCTATCATGTTGCCTCCGGCCCTCCAGCCCCTGGAAGCTCAGCCTTCTGTTTTTCTAAACTGTAAAGGACAAATGATGTAGTTTTTCCTCATAGCAAAGGTACTTTGGTCATTTGTGGTATATGTTTGCTTTTATTTGCTTATGTAATCCGTAACACACTTTTGGGTGTGGGTGTGGGTGTGTGAGAGAGAGAGAGGTGTCTACAGGATCATGTTAACATTACAGTGGTACCTTGGGTTAAGTACTTAATTCATTCCGGAGGTCTGTTCTTAACCTGAAACGGTTCTTAACCTGAAGCACCACTTCTAATGGGGCCTCCTGCTGCTGCCACACTGCCGGAGCACAATTGCTGTTCTCATCCTGAAGCAAAGTTCTTAACCTGAGGTACTATTTCTGGGTTAGCGGAGTCTGTAACCTGAAGCGTATGTAACCCAGGGTACCACTGTATCTCAGTGCTATCTCTTGTCTGATTGGTTGTTCTGCAGGAGTTGGAGCAATGACGTGGTCCCCTCTCGCCTGTGGGATTGTCTCAGGGAAATACGCCAATGGAATTCCCGAAAGCTCAAGGGCTTCTTTGAAGGTATTTTCCCCATGCTAACCACTTGTACGATCACAATATATTTCCCCCCGTGCTCTAGAGCAGTGTTTTTCAACCTTTTTTGGGCAAAGGCACACTTGTTTCATGAAAAAAATCACAAGGCACACCACCATTAGAAAATGTTAAAAAATTTAACTCTGTGCCTATATTGACTATATATAAAGTAATTCTCTTGAATAGGAATCAAATAAACACAAAGAAAGTATTTTATAATTACTTTATTATGAAATAGTAAGTAAACAGAAATATGAAAAATTATAAAATACTTTATTCAGTGCACAACCTGGAATAGGCATGGCACAAGTGATGGAATAAGCATGGTACAGATGGTATAGGCATGGCACAGATGGTATAGGCATGAGGAGGAGGAGGACTGACAGGAGGACTCACTTACCGGGCTGCTGCTGCTGCACAGGGCTGGACTCACTCGTCTCTCTTCCGAGACCCGACCGTGACCGACTGGTTCCAGATGACCTCCTCACCTCACGCTGCACCTGCGGCCTGGTCTGGATCCGGATGCGGTCTCTCTGCAGTGCCGACTCCCGCCGAGTCCTGGTCTCTGTCCGTCTCCTCCTGCTCCGGTCCTCCTGGTGACTCGAGTCGCGATGTCTTCTCTCCGCTGCTGCGCACACTGTGCTCGGGCGGGAAGGAAGTCGGAAGATGATGTCCTACTGTGATAGGTCCAGGCTGGAGTCTGGACCAATCACAGCCCGGACATCAGAAAAGTGGAGGGTGTCCCCCTGAGGAGCGCCAATCGGCGCCCCTGCTGGCTGAGGGTGGGGTCAAAAACCCCACCCCACCCATACCCAGGACACAGTCCGGCGCCCGCCTAGTGGGCAAAAATTTGACCTTTTTTTAAAAAAAAATCTTTCGAATTTTTCAATTTTTCCCACGGAATACCAGGCAACATCTCGCGGCACACTAGTGTGCCACGGAACAGTGGTTGAAAAACACTGCTCTAGAGAAACGTCTTTTCTGAGCTCAAGATGGTAGGTGAAAAGTGTGAAGAAGCACATGTTTGAATGACAGAAAGAATTTCCCCTGAGATCTACAAGTAAAGGGCGGTATACAAATTTAATAAATAGCAACAATAATAATAATTCCCTTGACAATCAAGATTTCAGCATTAATGAGAACATTGTTGCTGAGGTCTACGCCAAGTATGACTAGCATGAGATATAAGCCTATCCCATTGCTTGCCATTTTGATTTTATTCATAAAGTGGATAGAGATTCTGATTTCATTAAGTATTCTTGGAGAACATCCAAGTTGCCTCTTACATACATGTTTCCATGTTATCTCTTCTTGCTTCCCTGATTGAAATATACTCAGAGTCGAGAGTGGATTTCATCCTCTTTATTCAGCTCATAGTGGTGAGGAGGAATGAAAGTCCCCTCAAAGTATCTGCTTTATATACATTATTTACACAATGGGCTGCACGTGATTGGCTAATTCCGGAATTCTCCTGTAGGCCAATCAGGTTGTAGATTCACTTCCATCTGGAGCTGGATTGGGTGGCTCCTGCAGACCAATCATACTGCTGCATTGTTCTGGGACCAATCAGACTGCTGCATTTTGGATCCTATTCAACTCAGTACATAACACTGATTAGTAAGATTCATTTGTGTGGGGCTAGATAAGAATACATGATAGGCTTTCACTACGCAAGAGGTAGAGGTGGAGGAGACCTAGAGACAGTTTAAACTTTTCCGTGGCTGTGCATCTTTGCACCAGACTGGGATGCAATTGAACAGTTGGCCAGCTGTGTGCTTCTACACATTTTTGTCTCTGACACCATCCACCACTTGCCCATGGCCCCCAATGGTTGCCCACAAGGGAATGAATGCATCTCTCAGGCTGAAAAAGGTTTCCCAGCCTCGGTATATACCGTATTTTTCGCCCCATAGGACGCACCGGGCCATAGGACACATCAAGTTTTTTGGGGGGGGAATAAAGAAAAAAAAAATTATTTCCCCCCCAGGCGCTTCTGGGGCCGGCAGCGGGGAGAAGCGCTCTTCTCCCCGCAGCCCGCCTTCAGACCAGGTCCGGGGACAGCGGGAAGACGCGCTGCGCCTCCCAGCTGTCCCCGGAGCTTGTGGGGCAGGCAGCGGGGAGAAGCGCTCTTCTCCCCGCCGCCCGCCTCAGATCAGGTCCGGGACAGCGGGGAGACGCGCTGCGCCTCCCAGCTGTCCCCGGAGCTTGGGGCAGGCAGCGGGAGAAGCGCTCTCTCCCACCACCCGCCTTCAGATCAGGTCCGGGACAGCAGGAAGATGCGCTGCGCCTCCCAGCTGTCCCCGGAGCTTGTGGGCAGGCAGCGGGGAGAAGTGCCTTCTCCCGCCGGCCGCCTCAGACAGGTCCGGGACAGCGGGAGACGCGCTGCGCCTCCCAGCTGTCCCCGGAGCTTGTGGGGCAGGCAGCGGGGAGAAGCACTCTTCTCCCCACCGCCCGCCTTCAGATCAGGTCCGGGGACAGCAGGAAGACGCGCTGCGCCTCCCCACTGTCCCCGGAGCTTGCGGGGCTGGCGGCAGGGTCTCCCCGCCGTCAGCCTCCAAACCACTTCGGGAGACAGCAGGATGGCGGCGTTCCGCCTCCCTCTGTCCCTCGACCTGGTGGGGCTGGCGCTGGGACTCTCCTGAAGCCTGGAGAGCGAGAGGCGTTGGTGCGCACCGACCCCTCTCGTTCTCCAGGCTTCAGTGAAAGCCTGCATTCGCCCCATAGGACACACACACATTTCCCCTTCATTTTTGGAGGGGAAAAAGTGCGTCCTATAGGGCGAAAAATACGGTATACTGAAGACCAACAGATGTCCCTTCACAGCCTTTAGTCTGCTCTGAAACACTTAGATCAGTGTTTTCGTTCCTGGCGTTATTGATTAAATCAAGCTGGCATGTCAGCCACAAATTGTATCCAGAATTGCTTCTAAGCCTTTTTAAAGGAAACTTAACAAGGACATATTGACATGAATTGCCTGGACACATTGACTGGCTGCTGTTGCAGCCTGTTTAGTATAGCCTGTTATCTGTGACATACTGTCACTGTTGCCAAACCACCCCCCCCCCATGCCCCTCACAGCAACCTTGTTTGACATTTTGAAGGATGGCAGCACACTGAAATCATTGTGGTATGTTTGAAAGCAATCATCAAAGCTCCACATGTTTAAGGAAAATGGATTTGTCCAGCACTAGAGATTGGCGGCCAAAGGATAACTGAGTTTTTGTTTGCTTGCTGGCTCTGGGAGTGAGAGCTCATTTCTCCCCCGTTTCTCTCCAGAGCATAACATTTATAAACTCATTGAGCTCCTTCTTTCACCCAGAGAGCACTAAAACATTGGAAAACAGATACTGCCCACAGAAGGCACACCTTGAGTTGGCCAATATGTCATACCAGAGGCAGCCGCAGCCCAGTTTCCCATCCCTCTGCCATAATGTTTAGTGTTCACTGCATGTGCTCAAGCTATCGCATCTCACATTGCACCCCTGCCGTTGCTGATGGGGAAATGCTACTCGATGGCCTCAGCTTACACAGTGAGTTGCCACACCCTTGGCAGTTGTGACATAGAGAGTGGCTGTAACAGTGCAGTGTGTGATTTAAACTGCAGGGTTCGTGTTATGTACTGAAGTTCTCACCCTGGGCCAGCAGGGGGATACTGTAGATAGTTATGCAAATAAGGGATTGAAAGTGACGTTCAGTGATTGGATAGTTTTAGAAAATTGTTACAGTTACGTTGTACTGGAGCTCTATATAAGCAGGCTGACTGAACCCTTCAGTTGTTCTGGCCTGTGAATAAACAAGAGCTGTTTGAAGAATCGCTGTGTCGTCTGATATGTTCACCCACAACTTAACAGTTCTAAGGTTTGTCTTCCTTTTAACATCTTGTTGTCTTCTGTTTCCCCAGTGCTATCAGTGGCTAAAGGAGAAGATTGTGAGCGAGGAAGGGAGAAAACAGCAGTCGAAGCTGAAAGATCTCTTCCCCATTGCTGAACGCCTTGGATGCACCCTACCTCAGCTGGCTGTTGGTGAGTGATTCTGGGAGTCCTCCCCCCTATGGGCACTTCCCAATGTTTTTTGCATTGTGTATTCATAACTATTCGTATTCATGATGCTATCAGCGAAGTCAGACACAACTCCACATTCAATACTGTTTGTGCCTGCTCGGGTTTTGGGGCAGTCACACTGCTTCACTTCCAATCAGTGCATAGTGTGTAACTTTCTGCTGCAATCCTGTAACTTTTCATACCACAAATGTTGGGTGGGGTGGGGTGGGGTGGAGAATCCCTCTTTGGTTACAGTATAGCCCCATAATCCACCACTAATGAAAGCACATCAAAGTGCAAGTAGATAAATAGGTATCGCTCCGGCGGGAAGGTAAATGGCGTTTCCGTGCGCTGCTCTGGTTCGCCAGAATCGGCTTAGTCATGCTGGCCACATGACCTGGAAGCTGTACGCCAGCTCCCTCGGCCAATAAAGCGAGATGAGCACCACAACCCCAGAGTTGTCCGTGACTGGACCTAATGGTTAGGGGTTCCTTTACCTTTACCTTTAATGAACTATTATTATGTCAAGAACACACAGACAAATACACACACACACACACACCAAGAAACCTATATCATTAGTGATGTTCAGTTGGGCTGGCACTGTGAGCTGCTTGCGATACAAAGGAGGTACTTATCCAATGGCTTTTTTGAGAGTTGGTTGCAGTGGTCTTCAATGGCTAATTTTATTTTGTGCATTTATCTAAATCATTTATATACTGCTTTTCCAAAGCTGAGGGTGGCATAAAGAAACAACACCCAACTTAATCAAGCGTCTTATGATCAATTAAGGTTCATAAGAAGCTATCAAATACAGCCATACCTTGGTTTTCGAATGTGTTCCGGAAGTCCATTCAGCTTCCAAAAAGATGTTTGGAAACTGGAACACTCACTTTTGAGTTTTGATCATTCGGGAGCCGAAACATATGAGTACCAAGGCATTCAACAACCAAGGTATGACTGTACTGAGTTCTTTGGACCATCTAGGTCAGTATTGACCCAAAGTGGCTGGGGAAAACCAGCCAGATGGGCGGGCTATAAAGAAATTAATAATAATAATAATAATAATAATAATAATAATACTCTAGCATTTCAGGCAGAGTTCTCTCCCAGCCCTACTTAGAAATGTGTGCCAAGGAATGAGCCTAAGACCTTTTGCTCTACCACTGAACCATGCCGCTTTTCATATGAGTTTCAGCTGGTTTGTGGTTATTGATTACATTTGCATATATTTACTTAAGGGGTAAAAACCATATTTCTGAAGTAGGAAGCATACGTGTTTCTAGATAATGTGCACCACATTGTCATAGCAAGCATAATCTTAGAAGGTCCCTAATATGTGAAAGAAAAGGGGAAATGCTCTTTTAAGATAGTACTTGCCTTAAAAATATTTTTTTTAATAGAAAAACCTGCTGGCTGATTAAATTAGGGACACTATTTGGCTGATTAAAAGGGTTTAATCAAATAATCATTAACAAATTAAACATTCATTAATTGCAACCCTGATTAAAACAAATTGAGTGTACCATGAAATCCTAAGGAACAGATGCAACATCCCTTTGGGAAAGAGGCTAAAAGACTTGCCAGCGAAGAGGAAAAGCTATGGGGGTCTTCCAGATGTTGTTGGACAACTGTTCCCATCGTCACTGACCAGTGGCTATGTTGGCTGGGGCTGATGGGAGTTGAAGTTCCACATCTGGCAGGAACCATGTCAACTATCCCTGATTTAGAAGGAAGTCCTTTCAAAACACTAGGACAGTTCACAGTTAGGGCAATAAAGATAAATCCCCTTGTAGAATCATAGAATCATAGAGTTGGAAGAGACCACAAGGGCCATCGAGTCCAACCCCCTGCCAAGCAGGAAACACCATCAGAGCACTCCTGACATATGGTTGTCAAGCCTCTGCTTAAAGACCTCCAAAGAAGGAGACTCCACCACACTCCTTGGCAGCTCTTACTGTCAGGAAGTTCTTCCTAATGTTTAGGTGGAATCTTCTTTCTTGTAGTTTGGATCCATTGCTCCGTGTCCGCTTCTCTGGAGCAGCAGAAAACAACCTTTCTCCCTCTTCTATGTGACATCCTTTTATATATTTGAACATGGCTATCATATCACCCCTTAACCTCCTCTTCTCCAGGCTAAACATGCCCAGCTCTCTTAGCCGTTCGTCATAAGGCATCGTTTCCAGGCCTTTGACCATTTTGGTTGCCCTCCTCTGGACACGTTCCAGTTTGTCAGTGTCCTTCTTGAACTGTGGTGCCCAGAACTGGACACAGTACTCCAGGTGAGGTCTGACCAGAGCAGAATACAGTGGCACTATTACTTCCCTTGATCTAGATGCTATACTCCTATTGATGCAGCCCAGAATTGCATTGGCTTTTTTAGCTGCCGCGTCACACTATTGGCTCATGTCAAGTTTGTGGTCAACCAAGACTCCTAGATCCTTTTCACATGTACTGCTCTCAAGCCAGGTGTCCCCATCTTGTATTTGTGCCTCTCGTTTTTGCCCAAGTGCAATACTTTACATTTCTCCCTGTTAAAATTCATCTTGTTTGTTTTGGCCCAGTTCTCTAATCTGTCAAGGTCGTTTTGAAGTGTGATCCTGTCCTCTGGGGTGTTAGCCACCCCTCCCAATTTGGTGTCATCTGCAAATTTGATCAGGATGCCCTTGAGTCCATCATCCAAGTCGTTGATAAAGATGTTGAATAAGACGGGCCCAAGACAGAACCCTGTGGCACCCCACTAGTCACTCTTCTCCAGGATGAAGAGGAACCATTGATGAGCACCCTTTGGGTTCGGTCAGTTAGCCAGTTACAAATCCACTGAGTGGTAGCATAGTCAAGACCACATTTTACCAGCTTCTGAGATCATTTCCACAAAGCAGAATCTGATTAGATAACAGCTTCTGGCAGGGGGATAATTGTTCTTCTCATATTTGCAAAGGACGTTGCCATGACTGACAGAGGCAAGATAGTGTACTGATTTAGATTTGGGTTTTTCAGGCTGAAGTGGGACACACACTGGCCCCTGGTCCCTCACTGATTCTCAGCCAGGGTGTTCTCAGCTCCTGTGGTTTTGTGCTTGCAAGCAGGGATGGGCCAATCTGTCAATTTTTGTTTCTCTCACTTTCCAAATTTTATCAGTTCTCCACACTTCCACATCAGTTTGCAATTCAAATAAAAGTCCTTGTGAAATTTCGTCTCCATTTTAGTGAATTCAATCTAATGCACATGTATTTGTTTCCGGTTTTGCCAAATTCACACCTTTTTTGCAAAGCTGTTTTCCCCAACATAATTCATTTTTATGGCATTTTTTCCACTGATTTGTGCATTATTATGTACATGCATTTTTGTATGTGTTACTTGACTTGATAACTGCATTGCAAAATTCAAAGAATTGCGAAATTTGAAGATTGCTTTTGTTTTAGTTCACACCTTGTTTCGGGCAGCACAAATTAGGTAAGTTTACCTAAAAAATGTTAACTGGATCAAACTTCTCCCTGATTTCCACTTGCAAGTCCCTCCCAATATGGATGCAAGCCAAATCTTCAGGTGACCCACGGAGACCTAGCGGGGAATGAATGTATGATACTGCCTTATACTGAATCAGAACATTCCTCTATGTAGCCCAGTGCTGTTTATTCTAGCAGTAGATCTCCTGGGGCTCTCAGGCAGATATATCCTCCGACTCTGGGACCCTTTTAATTGGAGATGCCAAGAACCAAGCCTGGGATCTTCTGCCAGAAAAGAAATGCTCTACCCCTGATCTGTAATTTATCCCCTAATTTCCTTCCGCCTGCTGCTGCAGTAAAAATGCTGTCTTTTCCAGGATGCCTACTGTTTTACCCAACAATACAGCAAGCCTGGTTATGGAATGCAAATATTTACAAAGTCATCCAAGTACCTTGTTGCGTACTGGATACAGCTACTGACTGCATTATCTTTGGGGGTAGGAAGAATAGCTGTTTTTATGGACGACAGCAACAAAGTTGGGCTAGCGATTACTATGAAATAATCATGAGCAGGACTGGATTTTTTCCCCTTTAATCTTTTTTTTCCCCCCTCCCCTAGCACAGTTCCCTCCCAACAGCTGTGTAGCCCTGATTGACTCAGGCTGCGAAAATAGAGCTAACACAGCGCAGAAATTCGAGAGAGACCATTAATCATGTTTAACTGTGCTGTCTCGTTCTTCCCTTGCCAAAGACACGATTTAAATGTTTCACAGGGATGACGGGGTGGGAGCTAAATGGTCCGATGAAGTTCAAATATCACTTCTGGCCCTGGCAGATGACTTTTCAAAAAATCAGCTAATACGTTCAGTGCAGGAATAAATTTAAAACAAAACAATCCAGATTCTGTAGCAGCCAGCAAGATGGGGCAGTGCTGGTTACCTGGCTTCCGAATGCTGAGGTCACTGCTGGTACCTGAGAGGGGCGAGACACTAGGGAGGCAGGCATGGTGTGGACACAGAGGTGAAGCTAATTCCCTGCTCCTGCCATAGCACTTCACCGCACCAACCTGCCCATCACCTCACCCCCCATCTCTTTCTGTCAGTTACCAGAAGTGTCCTCCACATTGGGAAACCAGGTAAGCAATGTGGCCCGATCCCGAGCCTAGACAATGTAAGCCATGAAGCGCTCCTCACAGTTTTGCAAACCAGCAAAGGAACAAGCTTCTCGTCATCTGCAACCGGGGAGAAAGCAAAGGCAGTACGTGATGACAATGGACATTCCCCAGAAGTCAGTAGCCCAAAGTGGCTGCACAGAATAGGTTTCAATTCACCTCAGCACCATCACCTGTGTGCTCCTAATTTCATTTATTTTGTTGCTCTGCCTGCTTTTTGCTTCTGGCTCTACCTACCTCTGACATGTGGCCCTTGGAAAAGCTGCCTAGAAAGGGAATGTGGCCCTGGAGCTGAAAAGGTGTCCTGTCACAGTGAGGAATGTCCAGAGGGCAGAATTAAGTGTATTGTCAAAAGTAGACTTACAAGTTAGGAAAAGGCAGGTCTGTCAGTCGTAAGTCCCTCAGCTACTCCTAGCCATGCACTCACTGAGGCTGTTGCAGCAACAGAGAGGCCTTGGGTTATGTATCTTCCCCACCTGAGCTACACACAAGCAGGTGAAGACTGCGTCAGCGTGCAACCTGCTTCTGCTCCTCCCACTTCAATCCTCTTCTGGTCCTGGTCTCCTGCCTCTGCCTCTCGTCTCCTGGCTGTTACAGGTTCCCCCAAGTCAGTCTGCAACACCCCATTCTCCCGATGTCCTCTCCTCTGTACACAGTGACCACTCTTCAGTGGCTAGCCCAGGGGTCAGCAAACTTTTTCAGCACTGTCCCTCAGACCTTGTGGGGGGCCAGACTATTTTTTTGGGGGGTGGAATGAACAAATTCCTATGCCCCACAAATAACCTAGAGATGCATTTTAAATAAAATAACACATTCTACTCATGTAAAAACACCAGGCAGGCCCCACAAATAACCTAGAGATGCATTTTAAATAAAAGCACACATTCTACTCATGTAAAAACACGCTGATTCCCAGACCGTCCGCGGGCCGGATTGAGAAGGCGATTGGGCCGCATCCGGCCCCCGGGCCTTAGTTTGCCTACCCATGGTCTAGCCTGTCCCTGACAGGTCCCTGCAATAGATTGCAGATGGGGCATGAGCAAGTTTTGTTTGTAGCCAAATGCCACATAATTTCTTTTCTTCTTATCACAGCGGTGTTAAAAAAAAAATACCTATCTGGAAAAATGTCTGAATGATAAGGTCTTAACCACTGCATGAGATAAGCCTCTGAACTAAGGTTGCTCACCAGCATCAACCAATACCAGCCCTAACCCAGCCATGGGCTTTTCTGTCTTCCCAGCATGGTGTCTACGTAACGAGGGTGTGAGCTCTGTCCTCTTAGGATCTTCCAATCCGGAGCAGCTAATAGAAAATCTTGGTGCCATACAGGCAAGTACAAAATCTTGATTTGTGATGAGCCGAAGCAAATGGATGATCAAAAATAGGCAAATTTATTCAAATGTATGTAAGTTCTGAACACAGAGCATAACCCATCTTTACCTGCATTCCTTTGGAGCAAAATGTTGTTTTTGTTTTAATTGGTGAACTGAAAGCACGTAATGATCCTGAACGTATGCCGCCCGCTTTTATGCTTACAGGTTCTTCCGAAGATGACGTCCCACATTGTGAATGAGATCGATAACATCTTGGGGAACAAACCTTACAGCAAGAAGGACTACAGATCCTAATGCATTGCATGATTAAACTGGACTGCATGGCTAAAATAGCGCTCTGTACTTAGTACAGTACCAAGTCAATAATATCCTGATTAGAATTATTCGGCAGTCTCTGTTGTTTACTAGATTCTCCAAGGCAGCGTGCTGCGCCGGGATCCAAAAGCACAGCCGATCTCTCTTTACAACTGAGATTGCCTTTGCTTTTTTGCTTCTTCTTTTTTACTACAGTCAGATTCTCCTGCACAAGCCCTGTTGAAACGAATGAGATCATGCAGGACATTGTGCGCTAGCATTCATTTCCGCAGAGTTTGTGCACAACTTCTCGCCGGGTCGTGCCCGCTCCCTGTTAACCCTTATTATCCTCTCGGCACTTCCCATTTATGCAGTGAAAATACACATTGTAAAGAAACAATAAAAGATTTCTTCTAAGCTTTAGTTACTTGGAAATTAGAAGAAGGATGTACAGATATATTTTTTCAATGAACACAAAAGCCAGATACAGGTATAGGTCAAAGACGCATATCAGACAATTTCAAGCATAAAAATTCTTCGAGCTATCTTGAAGATGAGTAAGTTTGGGTGTGTTTTTTTCCCATTTGCATTTTTTTATGCTGAATCTGAGTTCTAGGGTACTAGCCTAGTTTGGACTTTGTTTAGGGGAGTATGGGCTGTCCATTTAAAGGCAGAAAATCAAAGGATTACAGGGGATGGCATCTATGCCTGCCAGTTATTTTAGGATTTCAGATGCATGTTGTATATGGTAGCTCCAGATTCACTGGGGGGTGGGGAATGGACTCGATCCATCCAAAGCTAAGCAACCATTGGCTACACTTCTGTGCACACTTACCAGGGAGTATGTAAGCCCTATTGAAGACACTGGGATTTAATTCCAAGGAAAAGTGCACAGGATTGAATGCATATGCTTCACACTTTAGCTTTACTGCATTTAAAAATAAAAAGAGTAAAGGCTATAGTTCTATCACCTGCTTAAAGCAGAGGTGGTTTACCTTCGGCTCTCCAGATATTGCTGGAAAACAACACCCATTTATCCTTGACTGCTGGCCATAGTGGTTGATGGGAGCTGGGAGTCCAAAAACATCTGGAGAGGGCCACATGTTCTCCCTAGAGGTTTGCACCATCAAAACAGAGGTCCCGTCCCCCACCTGAGTCAACGTGCTTAGGATCAGGCTGAAAGAGGCTAGGCTAGGCAAGTAAAATTCACATAATCATTTTGCTGCTGCAAAAATGGAAATAAAAAATGCCATAATTTAATGCTCTTTTATTAGAAACCTGCTTTACTTTTGGCAGCTTGTAGATGTAGTTACTGCAACTTTGATTACTTAAACTTAACTGATATAATGTATAATAAATGTACAAAATGTGCAGAGTTGTACAATTTTCTGAAGGTGTATTGGAAAGGGTTTCATTTCCCCTTTTGTACCTCCATCGAAAAGCCTGATGCAGTTTGTAAGCACTTCATCACAGTTTAATGGATCCCAGGAAATGTTTTCGTTTGCCCAATCTCCCCTGCCTTTTCTCACTTTGTTTCCAAACTGTATTTAGGATCATCATTACATCATGGGTTTTGGTTCCCAATCCTTGTTTTGGCACATGGTTTTCAGTGATCTTATGCTTTTAAATGGTAAGCATTGCCAAGCACTGGACTTAACATGCACATGCCAGTGGCACAGGATGGCCTGTGATGAACAAGAGCATCTTGATGCAACAAGAGCATCTTTTTTTAAGTACCAGTGGTGGGATGCCAAAAACATCAAGCTTTGCCAAGTGCAAATGGAAGCTGGCTGGTTTGGGCAAGCTCCTTTAGCAGTGTAGCTAGAAGTCAGCATTACTGAAAATTGCGAGTGTTGTGTGTAAATCAGTCCATAAGCATCAGCAATCAAAGAACTAGAAAGTGTCTGGAACAGCTTTCCCCAACCTGGTGCCCTCCAATGTTTTGGAGTACAAGATCCATCTGCCCTAGGCAGCACAGCCAGGTAGAAGGCTGATGCCACACCGTTCTGCTCTTGAAAGCAATTATTTGATGGGTAGGTGTTGTTGTTGGCTGTTGTTGGCATCCATCGGTCTCATTCGATGGGCAGATGATTAATACAGATAAGGAGATCTCCTCTCCCTTCTTCCCACTCCTAACCTGCCCTATTTGCATGGTTGTATTCAATTGGCAATGATCCCACAGTGATGAAATGCAGCTGTTCTGTGCCTCTTGATTTATATATCTCTATCATATGTGTATTCTAGAAATCCTCCAAACCATTGCACTTGAAAGCACCGTTTAGGAACAGCACACCCTCCCAGCTACAATCCTGTCATTTCTTACTTTCCACGAATACTTTGATTTTGTGGGTTGCAAAGACCTTATCAAGGACTCTTCTTTTTCTTCAGTGGGCTTGGCCAACAGAAATGAGGTCTTCTCAGCTGAGATGTTTTATTACGTTTGTGGATAGGTCCACTTTTTCATGTCTAATTGAAGTCTCAAGAGTGGTTTTGAGATCCACTAGTGTAAAACACAGGTGGGGAGCCTGAGAGCCTACTCTGACTTGCATCAACCCCAGCCAGCATGGCCAGCGGATGGAGCTATTGTCCAACAATATCTGGAGTGGCTCCCCACCTCTGTAAGAAAAAAGTGCATACAATTGGGAGTGGGGAGGTGCCAAGGCCTTTGAGCAGGGAACACCGTATTTATATGGAAAGTACAAATATCCTTTTAGTTTACTACATCTCACTTCCACAGCCTGCACTCTAAAGGACAGACACAAACTGCAATCTGCGTACTCAGTGGGGCCTAATCCACAGGACTGCAGCTCAAGACCCAGATGCAGAAGCATACTAAATACCCACTGCTACACAATGGCTTCCTTTTTGTTGCTGTACCTTATCAGCAATAATTTCCTATTACCTAACTCTGGCCCCAGATGAGTACCCTTACCCCAAAATGGTGAACAAGCATTTCATCTTTTTTGCATACGATAGCCTGGATCTGGGGCAACTGCTGTGAAACCTGCTTTCATGGATAATTGCTCTTGTTGCAAATGGCCATAAAGCCAAGTTCCATATCCAGAAATCTTCCAGTTCACCTGGTGGGCAGGGGTATCATGCACATGTATTCAACTCCATTCATCTGGTCTGGGTGGCAAAGCTTCAATGCACATACGTCTTTCTCTGCCTGCCACAACTTCTTCAGCTCATTTCGGCGGCAGGAACAGATCTCTGTTTTCATTCTTCTCCAAAGATTTGCTCCGGCCGCTGCAATGAACTTACAGGGAAGTCTGGGTTAGAACATGGAAAATGTACCATCTCACCGAAAGCAGCAAAGGTGCATTTGCACATATAGGACGCACCATGTGTGAAGCTTAAGCTTCTGAATCGCAGCCTCCTCCTCCCTCCCCTCCATCGAGCAGGGCCTTTGCATTTGAACTGTTCATCGGACAGTCCTAGCAACGGAGTTTACAGAAGGCACCGAGTTCTAAAGAACAAATATACTTTTTCCTCTTTTAATGTGTTTAATCAAAGCAATGGTCTGTGTAAATGAATTCAGCTGCTGTATACTAGGAACTGCTTTCTATTTCTGCTTGGACATAATAAAGGCATTTTATGCACCTAGCTTAATTACTTTGGATCCATTAATTTGGAGTGGTGGAGCGGGGGTGGGGAGGGTAGTGGTGGAGAGCCTACATTATTAGGATTAAAATAGGACTGTATCTTTCTGATTCATTACTTTGAAAATCAATACATATTACTTTTGTTTCCCAGTAGGAACAACCACATTACACAGAGTGCTTGATAGGAAAGAAAATGTTCATTCATCAAGAGCATTAGCTAAAGACAGATTTAAAGGGCAGTGTCTCTCATAAGATACCAGTGACTATTAACATACGTTGATTTGAAGTATGGAATGCAGTGGGGTTGGGGGGGAAGGGGGAGGTCAGGATATTTTTGATTGCCTTAGAGACACACTCTCTTCTTCGGAAGATTTATTCAAAGTTTTTCTTCATCTGAGACGGCCTACATGGCTTCACAGAAATCCTCAGGGTGTCTCTGCTTCCCCCACCCCCATTGTCTTCACATTTTAAGCAATTTAACAAGGGTAATTCCATCACCACTGTTCCAGAGAAAAGTCAGCTAGTTGCTGCTGATCGACGGCAGAAAGGATAAGAGAACAATTAAACTTAATTCATGGAGTCAACTGGTACAGCCCCAAAGTTTTTTGCCCAATGAAATCCTGACACAGTTCAGCAATGCCCCATGACATCATCATACCTGCCATATAACAATGAATTTAGCTTATTTTCAATAGTTTTGAGGATACAAGCATGGCCTAAAGCAGTGGTGGCCAAACTTGGCCCTCCAGCTGTTTTGGGACTACAACTCCCATCATCCCTAGCTAACAGGACCAGTGGTCAGGGATGATGGGAATTGTAGTCCCCAAACACCTGGAGGGCCAAGTTTGGCCACCACTGGCCTAAAGGAAGCAGAGTTTACACAAAATGGGGGGGGGTGCCCAGCAGAATGAAAGATAACTTTTGCACAGAGGTGGTGAACCTGCAGCCCACCTTTCCATAAAGAAATGTTAACTGTGACCTCATGCTAGAAAAATGTGACTGTGACCTCATGCTAGAAAAACTGTTTTGGGCATCTGGTTGACAGGCCTCATTTGCAGACTTAAATTATTAGATGACTGTTGCATGCAGTTTCATTTCAAATCCTAGGGTTCCTACTACTGGAGAAAGCCTCACACATCCCACATGCAAAATTTCTTTAGACAGTGATTTATACCAAATTAATATCAGTGATCACTCCTCTTAACTGAATCATCTTTTGTTAAGCTTCTGTCCTCTTTGCTACACCTTCAATCATTGCTTCCATTTGCTTGTTATAATATGAAGGGTAGTGGTTTGGGGGGGGGAGGGTAGACAAACTACTGCATGTAGCAGATTCGGAATTGCGGCATATCAGATATACAGCATTTAGAGGTGCATACAGAAAGGGAAACATGGGACTAAACTAGAATATTCAAATTCATCTCATTTCAGTTTAGCACAGGGTGAGTTCAGTTTTAATTAAAGTAGGATGTATTTTTATGGCATGCTATTTCACTATTGGCAAACTGCTGTGAATTAACAAGTCTGAACCGAATAAGATGATGGAAACTCACATTTTCAGTTTTCACCCTATGATGGGGGTGAGAATCTTTTCTGCAATGGAAGCAAGAAGGAAGACATTTCTTACCCACAAGATAAAAAGACTGGAAAAGCCGGGCAAAGGCTGCAATCTATGCATTTTCTTAAGAGTAAGTTCAACTAAACACAGTGAAAATTTCTTTAAAGACTGCAATGAAGAGAACAGAAAACAGGACAATATGACAATGGAAGAAGCTTCAGGCTGTATTTTCTTTTAAGCTTTTATTCAAACATGATTACAAAAGATTACGGGATGAAGTCACTGCTCGAAGTCAACAAAGCCCATCTCACTGGCAGAAAAAAAGAGAAACTTATTTGTAACATATTTGTGTTTTGAAAAACAATTTCATGAGCTAAAATGACATTACCTGGTGCACTCATTTTTGTTATTTTATGAAAGAACCATAATCTGTGTTTCCTTTCTGTTTTCTTGTAAAAAATAGTTTCTCATGTTTTCAAGCTATAAAAAAGCAACACCTCTCTATCCAGGCTGCTGAGTGTGACTGGATAGGACTGATCTATCCAAACAATTCTGTCTACTTGGAACCTGTAGACAGCAAAGCAATCAATCCAGACGAAGCGCTGATGGACAGGATGTAGTTTCTGATAAAGCAGCATGTTAAGGATGAAAGCCCAAACACTCAGGATGGTAAGTATATCTGCCAATGCTCACTACCAATGCAACTGCTACAAAAACAGGATGTCGTATAAATAGGAATCTATTATCCCAAGTCCAAGAATGAAACCAAGTACTATGTATCCCATCCCAGATAGCTCAGTTGGTAGGGTGTGAGACTCTTTAAGCTTAGGGTCGTGGATTTGAGCTTCACGCTGGGCAAAGAAGATCGCTGCATCGCAGGGCGCTAGACTAGATGACCCCACCCCAGGGTCCCTTCCAAGAGCAGTTATGATACGATAATCTTTATTGTCACTGTCCTATACAGAACAATGAAATTGAAAAAAATTACATCAGACATTCAAAACCCAACAAGCCTGCTATCCCAGCCTGGTTAGCCCCCTAAAAACTCTGATACCCCATAATTAAATACAACATACTCCCATAGAGACTACCTTACACTGTGTTTAAAACCAAAATCGCATTTGAATAGAAATTGTTTCTCAGACGGCTAGTCCTAGTCTTTATAACCCTGTACCTTCTTCCAGAAGGCAGAAGCTGAAAGAAATCACTATCTCTGCAGCTTTCTTACGGCACCTGGAAGCATAGATTTGATCCAAGGTGGGAAGAGTGCCCCCAATTATTCTCTCCGCAGTCCTTACAACCCCGGACAGCATTGTTTTTTCCCTGACCGTACAGCTCCCAAACCACACACACAGACCCTAAGTTAATACACTCTCAACAGTACAATGGTAAAAGGCAATCAACAGGTCCTTTGAGAGATTGTTTTTCCAGAGAATTCTCAGAAAATATAACCTCTGCTGTGCTCTCTTCATCAGGTCTTTGCTGTTTTATGATTCTAAGTAAGTAGAGGAGCTTGTGGTCAAAGGACTGGCTTGCAATCGCAACTGGAGAGGGAAGCAAGACCCTTGACTTCCACCCATCTGCTCCTCAAAAGCAACCCTCCAGTAGAATAAGCTGTTGCCCTGGTACCTATAGCCCAGTCCTATGGAACAGCTGAGGAATGTGCCACTGTGGCTGAAAAGCAATCCTACCTGGCGCCAGAAAACCTATCAATTGACTCCCATATAAAGTTAAGCTGGTTGGAGAAAGCCCTGCAGGAAGCCACATCTGGAGTAACCTACCCTGAGCATAAAGCCTACACACAGTTCACCTGTACTGTGCAGGACCTTGGCACAAACAGCAGTACTTGTGCCCATGGGAAACACTGACCCCTTGAAACAGCTCTAGAATAATGTTAGAAATTACCCAATTGCAACCATGTGGAGATCTCTGGACACCAGGCTAGTGACTGATATCTCCATCTGGCTGGCCTCTCCAGGTTTCTTAAGCAGGTAAGCAGAAGAGTTTATCTACTGTGTTTATATCCCACCTTTTCCCCCCAAAGAGTACATGGTTCACCCGCTCCTCAGTTAATCCCTACAATGACCCTGCGAAGTAGGTTACGAGGCTGTGACTGGCCCAAGGTCACCCAGTGAACTTCATGACTGAGTGAGGATTTGAACCCTGATCTCCCAGGTCCTAGTCCGACACTCTAACCACTGCACCACACCATCTTCCTAGAGTACTTCTGCTACAGGACAGCTCTATACATTAAGTAGGTAAATAAATATGGGGAAAGTAAATGTAACTTAGAGAAGGATCTGAAATATTTTCCTTGAAGCTTAAATCTGTTTTGTTCTGTATTGTTTTATTTGTTATTTTAAGGCGTTACAAACCACTCTGAGATTTTCTCTTAAAAATATAAATTAAAATAAATAAATAAAATGAATATAGAAATAAAATGAGTAATAGTGATAATAATAAATTCCCTTGACGAAATAATTGTGCCTAGACATTCTGCCGTGGCAACTGTAACCAGGGTTTAAGGTGCCATTTGGCAATTAGTTTATATATCTGACTTTAGAATGAGTATCAATGATGTCACAAAAGCTTCCCCACATCAACAGAGGCTCCTTTCTGTTTGTGGGTTACTGGTGGCTGTGCAAAAGGGAAGAAATATTTACAGAAAATGACAGAAAATATGGCAGTTGCCATTAAAAGCTTTTTTTTAATTTTTAGAATGCCTGTATTTCCAGAGGGTGGGAGAATCCTAAGGAGGACTGGAAACTTTTCACAGAGATTAAGAACCTGAATGTCCCAAGTACCTCCACTTCAGTAACATTCAGTTACCTGGTCACTGTAATATTTTTTAAAAATAATTTTATTATTTATACCCCACACATCCCTATAATTTAGTCACTAATAAAATAGTGTCACAATACTGTCCATATATTCTGTTCTGTTCTATTGCTGGTAGGACTATTTGCTTTGTCCTCATGGTGCCCAGGAACTATTTGCTCTACAGTTGTGGTGGCATGTGCAAAGTTGTCTGTTCTTGCTACAATTGTATCCATAATGTGTCTGGATTCTTTGAATTACAGGCCCTGAAACTATATCCCTTGAGAGCACAGCTACAGCACCTAACTTATGCAACCCATCTATCTCAAAGTACTTGAAATTTTTGGAAGGAAAGGATACACGGTGGGATTGAAATTCTTCAACAAAAAAAATGAAGCAATGATGACCAAGACCAGGAAGAGTGTATTGTTGTAGAAGATGGAGAATGTTGTTGCTTCGTAGTCTGCTACTTCGTTCTTCTTCCACAAAATTCTGCAGAGGCGAAAGCAGCATTTCAAACAATTTAGGCATATTTTTTCCACTGACAAATGACCTAGATGCTAAATTCCAGTTTCTGAAAAAATGATTTTTTTATTTAAGAGTCAAAAGGAGTACAGTGAAGGCACCTGCCAGCTGTCAATAGGCAAACAGAGCGTTTTTTTGGAAACACAGTAATGAGCGACAAACTTCCATTAGATTTCCAAAAGCAGTTTTTACACTGTGTGAAAGATTGCATAAAATTTTGGAATTATCAGGTATGGGTGCAACAGGAGAAAGGGGAAAAATTGCTATCTGAATATAGCCTTTGTTTCTAGCTATTAGAGATCTTTTTAAAAACAAACAAACACATAACTCAAACAATAAAGCAAGATTGAATCTCCTGCTATGAAATAGTAACTTAATGAAGAATTGGAAGCTTAGGTTGGGAAGTTACTGCCAAGTATTCAATCTAGCACCACTGAAGAGCTTTTTAGGATGATAAAACGCTTTTTAAAGCATTTCTAATGCATCAAGTTATATAAAATGGTGAACTATACACAAACCATGCTGCTTTTAAAAAATACTGGTGACATCTGAAACACAATCAGCCGAAAACAAAGTAGGCATAAAGATGGTGGTAATCAACAAGCCAAGTCAAAACAAACACAAAACCACAGAAATAAATCCCTCTTTATGAACAGAGGAGTGTAATTCAGGTTGCCTGCAAACAAAGCTGTACAATGCATTTGACTGTCACCTCTCATCTTTCTCCTTGCGCGACATCTTCCTATTGTCTGCTTCAGAGAGCTTTCGAGTTACTTCTTTGGAAACGGCATCTTCCCTCTTCTGGGCTACTCTGAAAGAGAAAGCATTTTACATTCCTGATATTTTGGGTGTGGGGAGATCAGAATAAATTCAAGGATACTAGCCATTTCATAAAATGCCCTCTGCACATCACCTTGAAAGTGCCATTAGGTATGAACTGGAATGTGATGTGAAAGACCCACTGCCCAAATGGCGGAGCCACAAGGCCGGCAAGCCCCATCTCAACGGTTCCAATCACAGGGTTGTAACCCATGTTAATGGGTTCGCTGAAAAGAATAGCCAGGACTAACTTAGGCCCATTTGATGTTTGTAGGTTTACTCCGAATATAACTGTTAGGTACAACACAGAGTTCACTGAAGGAGAAACAAACAGTTGGAACCATCCAGCTAGGGGCAGGATGCATGAATATTTACTAGGGTCTAAGTCAGGATAGTCTAACCTGCAGCCCACAAGGCATTTTTGGCAGCCCTCAGCAATGTTCAAGATAAAAAAAATCTTTAAGCTTTATTTTTTGTGTCATGCATTCTTAACAAAAGTGCATACATTTGTTTGAGTATTAAATTTGTTTAATAATTAAATCTATTAATTGTGTATTTAATTATATATATTAATTGTTTTTTTAAGTATTACTAAACCTATTGTGAACATGTTAATTTACTATATGGAAATGGAATTCATTGTGTGGCCTGCGAGTTCTGTGTTGAAGTACTAATGCAGGCTGCTTGGTACAAAAAATTGGACCACCCTGGTCTAAGAAAAAGTACAAGTGCTCTTCCGAAGAAAATGTCCATTCAAAATATTTTTTGTCCAAAATTAAAGTTCATGTAAAGCTATGATATTAACTTTAACGGATATTGCCTAGTTCTGGAACTTTCTTGCTTCATAGACCCTCCAAAGGCCATCTCCAGAAATATAGCAAGGCTGATCTGAAATTGTTTTTAGTAGCCAGGGTGATGTAGTCTGAGGGGATATCACAAGATGCTTGCTACCTCCCGTGCATTTTCCCCATAAACATCATAACCCATCCCAAGCGCTAGAAATATAAATGAACTGTCCAAATGCTTACTTGTGCTTAAGAACAAACTTTACATTCTTGTAGGCAAAAGCCACCAGATATGTACTGACAAGGGTCATAACGCTGTAGAGAACTGCCGACTGAACAAGATCCATGTGCCATATTCGCCAGTAGAGCCCTAAGGAAAAGACATTGTGCAGGTGGTTAAGATTTTTGAAGTCTTCACAGTAAGTGGCACAGCAGGCCAGACAGCACATGAATGACTCGATTTGTTCAAGGCGTTCTCAACTAGATATCCTGTCTTATTATTAAAGTTTCCTTCTTCATTCAAAAGAATGGTCACAGTTCAGCACTAGAGCATCTGCTTTATACGCAGAACGTGTCTCCAGTTTTAACCCCTGGAAAGCCACTGCCAGTCAGTTTAGCTAGATGGACCAACGGGCCCACCTCTATATAAGGCAGCTACTCATGTTGATTAACTGAACAATGTATCTCTAGTTTACATACTGTTTTGGATAATCTTGTATTCTACCTTCTACCACATATGTCTTCCTTTGCCTGAACAGCAGCATGCAAAATAATAAAGGAAAGGGAATATCTGAAAGTGAAAGAAATACGCCATCTTTGGACTGACCCAACAACTAACAGAATGCCACATTCACAAGGATGAATAGCTTTAGAAGCATTGTATGAAACTGATTTCAAGCACATTTGTCTTCTCTTTTCATTTTACTAACTACAATCAACGAACATTATAACACCCAACAAAGGTGTAGCAATGCCACCTAGTGGTCTATTATTCTAAATAGTTTTTGAAACCTTTTGCTCTTCAAATCCTTAAAACACACGCAGACTTTAGAAACTTGACTTAGGGCTTTCCACACTTCCACTTGTCCTGTGCCTAGAAAACACAGGTTTGGGCAGTTTACTGCTTGTCTAGTGCTTTCTAGGCACAGGTCTGTGGTTTTGCCTTTGCACAGCCACTTTCCCCCAGGAAACCCATACAGAACAACAATCCACAGGAAACTCAGTTGCTGTTGTTCCAATTCAACACTAAACCGTGTTTTACTAGGGGAGAAGTGGATGGGCTAATGGAAATGTAGATGACCCCCCAATTTTGTTTATTTGTCTCATTATCCCCTTTAGTGAGAATCAGTGGTATACAGGCACTTCTATAATCTTGCATGGAGCCTGAAGTACAGTGGTACCTCGGGTTAAGTACTTAATTCGTTCCAGAGGTCCGTTCTTAACTTGAAACTGTTCTTAACCTGAAAATGTTCTTAACCTGAAGCACCACTTTAGCTAATGGGGCTTCCCGCTGCTGCTGCACCGCCGGAGCACAATTTCTGTTCTTATCCTGAAGCAAAGTTCTTAACCCAAGGTACTATTCTGGGTTTGTGGAGTCTGTAACATGAAGCGTATGTAACCCGAGGTACCACTGTATATATTATAAGCTGTCACCTTTTCTGCCTCACTCAATCTATACCAAAGAAGTGGATAATATGAACCACATAGCAATGCTTCCATATTCTCTTTGTGATGTTCAAAAGAGAGACATATTTTAATAATAATAATATTTCTTATATCCCACTGCAATGCGTGTCCACAGTGAATAACAGCTTTGAGGTTAAGAGAAGGCCAGAAGCCACCCTTAAGAGGAAGAAGAAATGCCATTTTAAGCTTAAGAACAATATGGACAGTTGGAATATGTGCCGATTCAAGTTACAAGAAAGGAAATTCCGACTAAACACCAGGAAGAAATTTCTGACAGTAATTGTAGTTTCTTCGTCAAACTCCCATTGTTTTAGGCACATTTTTGTGACAGTACTGCGCCTAAGATTTCAGATTAAAACTGCAGAGTGGAAGGAAAGGAGGACCTTTTTCTGCCTTCCCACTTCCAGCTACTCTCCAGAGACTGGAGATCTTCTTAAGAATATTAGGGGGGTGCACAGGGGAAGGACCAGACCGTGTGGAAAATAAACTTAATATTTTAGCTGCCATTCATTCATTTTCAGCTTTGTATTCTTGTTATTTTAAAAAAGCGCATTGTGGCGCCCGTATCCTAGGTTTAAGGTGCCATTTAGCTACTAGCTTTCCTATCTCCCGTTCCTAACACTGGGTGGGGCACACCTTCCTTGAGAGGTTTTCAGGCAGAAGTTAAATAGCCTCATCTGTCACGGATGCTTTAAGTTCAGATTCCTGTATTGCAGTAAGGGAGTTGGACTAGATGACCCCAGGGGGGATCCCTTCCAATTCTGCAATTCCGTGATTCTAGGTCGGAGGGCCGTCCGTCAGGGCCTCTTTAGCTGTGCCCCCTGCACTGCAGCAGGGGGTTGGGCTGGATGACCTTCGGGGGTCCCCTTCGAACCCCGAAATCCTGCGGCCTTTCCTATCCCGCGCCCCGGGAGGAGCCTCGCGTGGGGGGGGGGTTGGATCCCTGCCTCCCCCGCTGCTGACAGAGCAGCTCTTCCAGGGGGAAGAGAGGGAGACGTGGCAACCCAATCCTTCCTCACTCACAGATGGGGATGGCAGAGACGATGAACGCGTTGCCGAAGAAGAGCGCCGACGACTTGGCCGACAAGTTGCGGCTGAAATCCTGCAGGAGAAGCTCCTCCTCCGACTGCTGCCGGGCCCCGCCGCCGCTGCCGCCACTACCGCCCTTGGGAGCCATCGCCGCCGCTTCCTTCTGCCTCCCGAGTTCGAAAGGAAGACCGGGACTGACCCCGCGCGGCTGCCGTACTCGCCCACGAAAGCACACGCGGCGCAACGGCCTGGGAGGCGGGACTTCCGCCGACCAACGGCCGCTCTCCTCACAGAGTACTTCCGCTGCCGCCTGTCAATTCCACACACCCCAACCGCCGCTGTCCCCCGTTTCTCTCGATAGAATTATTATCTCTACCGCGGAGCTACGAGTGTTTGGATAATAGCAGAGAGTAAGTCTGTGTAGCATTAAAAAAAAATAATAATAATAAGCAAGGAGAATTGGGCCAAGCCTCTACATCCGGGTCATCAGGACTCGGCTGACGTGTCCTTTCCTTGGCTTCAGGGGCGGGGCTTGTGGGCAAAGTCTTATTGGCTCTTCTCTGTAGCCGGGATTAAAAAGCGGAGGGGGCGTGGCTTGCAGAGTCTCTGCATTGAATCTCATTGGGGTTTGGTTCAGCAGCAGAATAAACGGTGCATTTGTTGTATAGGGTAGCGTCCTCTTGGTTTCCCACTCTGAATACTGCTTAATTCGTGTGTGTGGGTATCTTTTTTATTTTATTTTATTTTATTTTAGTGGTAGTTATGCTGCTTTACGAAGGAGAAGTTTAATACGACCCCCGTTTTAGAGCATAAATAAATTGATGTTTTAGATTTGCTTTTGAAAACGGAGCGGTGATTTTTGTAACGTGGTCAGAAGTTGGCTTTTGTTTATTTCCATACGCTCCTCCTGTTCTGCTTCTGTCTGTACTGACAGCAATTAGTAGAAAAAGTTACATGTTAAAGCTGGCTAGGGGTCTACTAAGTGGGTAGAAGTCTTGAATTGTTGAGATTGCTTGAGAAATTAAGCTGCCCTGTCTCAAGTTTTCCACAACGGGCTGTTCTTTCTCCCTGCAAAAGCCGATGCTTCTCAGTGCCTCGCTTTAAAAGTCTGGCAATAATTGGGAGCATAGGGAGGCTGGAACAGAGGTTTTCATGTAAGACTCTGATCGGGATATTCTTTTGCACTTGTATAGTGTTCAGGATATTCCAGTGTATCATGGGCAGACTTTTCCAGCTATCCTGTATCTATGGTTCTTCCACTCCTCTTTGCCCATGGGGATCAGTGTGATCTGTGCAAGGGTGCAGTGTGGGTGGTGAATAAATAAAATGAGTGTTTTAAAGTAACTGTACAGGGTTGACTCGCAATATTAGGTTGCTACTTATCTGGGAATATTTGCTATTGAACTCAATAGGGCTTACATCTGAGTAAGACATGTAGAGCCATTGTGAGGAACCATTGACAGTTGTACTCTTGTTTTGCTATCAGTTCCCATAGCACTGAAAGTGCAGTGCTTATCAGCCCCAAAACTCATTTTTTCTCTTCTCAAACAGGTAGTTCTTACTTGAAAAAAGCCTCCATAGAATGAATCAGCTGTTAAGCCTGCTTTACCTAAGTGTTCTCTGGAAGCTTCCTTTGTCTAAAGCTTAGTTCCAGGGTGAATTTTTGTGGTTGCAAACAACACATAGCCTACGGCGGTTCTGTTTCACATGGAAATTGACTGCTCCAAAAATTTGTGGCAGTCAGCTAAGGGTAAATCTCGTTCCAAACAAGGAATCAGAAATGATAGCTGTATTTAGTGATTGGTGAATAAGTTTTAAATGTGGAAAGAAGAACCTGTAGTTATTCCCAAGGGCTTAAGCAATATAATCTTTGTAGGCATGAGATATACTGTCCTAACTCCTGGAAACAGTTATGTGTTGATACTTAAATATTCTTGGGACATAAATTTAGATAGATATTTAAAAACATAGCTAATTAGCTCCATGTAAATAGTCTTGTTGAGAAGCATCAACACATAATACAGCTGTGTATGATGATAATAATAATAATAATAATAATAATAAATAAATAAATAAATAAATAAATAATTTTATTATTTATATGCCGCCCATCTGGCTGGGCTTCCCCAGCTAATCTGTGTACATTTCGGAGTGCTTGGATCTAGTATGCCGTTAAACAGCAGTATACCTTGAAAGTGAGCACTGTTTCTTAAAATGTACTCTTAGAGAATAAATTTAATGCCTTGGGCCTGCAATAAAGTAGATTTCTGGCATCTGGAGCTCTTGGCAGTCCTTTTTTTCTTCATGCTTGAAACAAGCAGACTTCAAAACATGGATTTGAAGCTGACTTGTTCCAACCAACTCTTAAGATTAACTACAGTTTAGGATTCAGACAGAATGGTAAACTACAGTGAATGGAAAAACAGTAGCAGAAACTTCCATTCTCCTCATGGTCACTGGAGGAAGCAAGGGGAGGGAGAAGCCTTAAGCTTGCTGAAACTCATTCCTATCATCACAAGCCAAGGTTTAGTGTGAAATTCAACCAGGCCTTATTTCTAGTTCGGTAATATGGGCAGATACCCTAACGAAGCCCATATGTGGAAACCCTATACTGGGCACATTATATGCCATATTGTATTTACGATTTTTGATGCCCCAGTTTGATGCCTTGCATCTGTTTCCAAACTATTAGTTGCTGGGGACAAAGCCTGATCAGTGTTTCCTCCCTTCTCATATGCCAACAACAGTCACAATGTCAGGCTGCAAGTCATGTTGACTTGAGCTGCTTTAAGGTTTTAGGTTTCTATTGTTTGTCTTGTAAATGCCTTAGGCCTGTTGGTATGGGAGGGGTTCCCCAGCTTGAACAAAGGAATTCGTAACAGGATTGGTTCAATGACAGCAGGGATATTCAGATGCATTCTCTGATTGATCTGATACACACATTAAGATTTTATCTGCAACCTGATGAAATTCTTGTTGCTGGGGCCTTGGAGAGTCGCTGAGTGGGGAACAATGCTTCAAGTGTCTCGTGACTCACAGCGAATCCCCACAAGAGTCCAAAGGCTGCAACGTGTTTAGAAAACGTAATCAGATCACGGTTCAGCTTGTGTCTCTAATACGTTTTAGCTGTGTCAGAAGATTAATGTGCTTCTCACAAAAGGGACAGGCAGGGCTGCATCACGTACTTCATGTGAGATCTTAAAGCCTTCCTGGATGGTGTAGAATTCATAGGACAAAATAGTAGTCCTTGATATGGTTGTATCCTTAATTGGGGCCTTAACTTGTAACCATGAAAATATTGGTGGTATATGTGTATGGATTTACAGGAGAGGGAAATGCAGATCAGACATGGGATTTCCCCAGTATGGAGGACTGGTACGTAGCCTACTTTGAGGATATGTTTTTGTGTATGCAATATCTTCGTCATCTTCCTATGTGAGCACACTGTCTCATGCCCAAACATTCACCCATTCAGTGTTGGATAATATATGAGTGTATTTTGCTGTCGTTAGGCAACATGGGGTCCTCACCATATTGCTGGACTACAACTCCTCTCCTCCCTGGCTGGGGCTGATGGAAGTTGTAGTCCAAAAATATATGGAGGGCACCATATTGGCTACACATGTGTCATGCTGTCCTACACAACAGATGTGAAGAAGAAGAAGAAGAGTTTGGATTTGGTATCCCGCCTTTCACTCCCTTTTAAGGAGTCTCAAAGCGGCTAACATTCTCCTTTCCCTTCCTCCCCCACAACAAACACTCTGTGAGGTGAGTGGGGCTGAGAGACTCCAAAGAAATGTGACTGGCCCAAGGTCACCCAGCAGCTGCAGGTGGAGGAGCGGAGACGCGAACCCGGTTCCCCAGATTACGAGACTACCACTCTTAACCACTACAGCACGCGGATCAGTTGGCTATTCCCTTCCCTCAAAGGCTTACCACCCATAGCATGGGATCCCATTTTTAACAGAGGCCATCTTTGCTAATAATTTGTTTAACTTCCAACCTGTTCATAAGCATTGCTTAAACAGATAGGCCAATGGATAGAGAGCACACATTTCAGTGAACTAATTAATATGAAGCTAGAACTCTCATAACCAGTAACAGTTACAATGGTTTCAAAAGTTCAGAATGTGTTTGTCTTGAGTTGGTTTTTATTTACCTTATTTTGGGGCTTATTTATTGGGGCCAAAATTTGTAAAACTACTGTTTTTCTAAAAATCGCTGTGTTCTGCATGCGAAATGACTACTTCTCTTGTCTTGTCTGTATGATAACAGTGAACTGCTCTGAAAGATATCCAAAGCTGCCTTTGACATCACACATTTGTTCATAAAAATTTTTATTGAACTAGCTTCAAGAGAAGCACGTTCTGCAACTGTGAGACACCCACGTCTTCATGTTCCCTTGCTGTTCAGTTATGGAACATTGATGCTCTGATGGTACCTTCAATAAGGCATCCTTGGCTGATCTTAAAGGTGATAGAAAGATTCTCACTGAAGACAGGTCCTCATAGCAACTGCCGGAGCTGTTGATTTAGCCAAGCTTAGGGTGTCTTAGACGCATTCCCTGAAGGGCTCGAGTGACCTAATCTCCCTTTAGTCACTGTTCATGGAGGGCGCAGTCCCCCATGTAACTAGGACCTTGAAATCTTGCTGGCTGCAGCCAGTGGCAGAGCTTCATGCTCTGGCACCAGGGGGCAGAGAGCAGGCAGGGGCGGGGCTGGCGTGCCGCCCATAGGGGCGTGACACGTATCCTGGGGGCGGGACATGGCGTCCGTAGGGGCGTGGTGCTCAGCACGGGCAGGGGGGCAGCCACGATTGCACCCCGCCAGGATCGTGCTGCCGGGGGCGGTGCGCTCCCCCCGCATGCCTCTTCCTCCTCCAGTGTCTGTAGCACAAATTTAGGGCTAGCTTGTGAGGGAGACAATTCAGTGAGCAGGAGCCTCAGCTCACAAAGCCTCACAGAAAGTACCTGGTCAAGCTGAATATCTGGGCACATCTAGGACCTGAGCTAGGGCAACCCGGCTCACTTGCCTCCTATGCACATAAGCAAGGTGCAGATCTTCTAGTAAAAATTTAAGCTTTTTTAAAAAAATACAACAATGGAAACAAAACCAAGCCTTGCAGACACTCAGCTGAAAGGTCATGAGATAAGTGTTTCATCCATACTATCACACGAAAAACACTCTGCACACAGGGTAGAAATCATAGGTGTGTTTGAATACAAGGAGCTCCTGTCTATTGGAATCAGT